CTTGTCTTAACGCTGAGACACTACCGCGCTACATGTCTCCTGATAGAAAAATATATAACTTATTTTTTAATATATATATTTAAAATTTTTAATATATATATTTTCTACATATTTTTTAATAACATTTGAACCATCTTTATGTTCAACAGGTACAGAAGTAGTTATGATCGATGTCGACCAGAGCAACATCGAATCTACTACATCACCAAGACCTACGTATATTCCACCAGCAACAATTCCAACAACGACTGAATTAAATCCAGACATCGATGATACCATCGAGATCGAAGCCAGCCCACTACCTCCAGCGGACTGTGGAGGACATTTATTCATATCGCACAAAAGCGACTGCACCAAGTATTATCTGTGCAACTTCGGTAAGATCTCGGAACAGTCCTGTCCACCTGGACTTTACTGGAATGAAGACCGATGCGACTGGCCGGAGAACACCAAATGCAAGACTGCTGAGAGTCGAGTATGTATCACGACGAATACAAGTTTAGCGAATTATTTTAATATTAACAAATGTAAAGCACGTTGCAGCATGAAAAAACCGTGAGATTTATTCTGTCGATTTCGTAGAGCCTATCGCCGAGATTGAGACTTGCCAAAAATGTAAATGAAAAAAAAATAGTTTGTTACTACACGAATTGGGCTTGGAGGCGCGCAAGCTTTGGCAGCTTCACTCCCGAGAACATCGACGGGACGCTTTGCACGCACATCGTGTACGCCTTTGCTACGCTGGAAAAGGAGACGTTTCTTCTAAACATTGATGACTCCGACAATGTCTACAGCAGTTTTCTCAATAAAACGGCGGAAATTAAAAAAAGAAATGGCCTTAAGGTGTTGCTCGGTTTAGGCGGATGGAACGATTCAGAGGACGACAAGTACAGCAGATTAATAAGTAGTCCACAATCGACTAGAAAAAATTTTGCTAGGTATATCGTAAAAATCATCGAGCAGTACGGATTCGATGGACTTAATCTTGATTGGGAGTTTCCGGTATGCTGGCAGGTAAGTAAATGCCCTCGTAATCGTAATGCCCTCTCTTTTTCTCAGTGTAATTGTAATAATTCTTTCAATATAAATTATCAAGGAATTTAAAAGAGATTTTAAAAATGTAAAGATTTTAATTTTGAGAAAAAGATATTTTATAAATATCGAACAAAAAATTATTTTTCAAACACTCTTTTTCGGTAAAATTTTCTATTTATTAATAGATCTCAAATCCCCATTAGATTAAGGATGCTATAATTATGGCAATTAATTAAAAACAAAATATCTCGGACAGGGCGACTGTAGCCGCGGTCCTGAGAAGGATCGCGAGAACTTTGTCGAATTTCTCAAAGACCTTAGCGAAGCGTTAACATCTAGAGGACTTTTGTTATCCATCGTGGTCTCAGCGAACAAGATCGTCATCGACCGGGGCTACACCCATATTCCGCTTTTAACACGGTACGTGAATTGGATCGGCGTGGTAGCGTACGACTATCACACTGGCATGGGAAGTGAAACCGGTCATATCGCGCCGCTTTATCATCATCCCGACGATATCAGCCCGTTCCTGAATGCAAACTTCTCCGTGACGTACTGGATCAACAAAGGCGTGCCAGCCGAAATGATCGTCCTGGGTATACCCACCTACGGATCAAGTTTCACCTTGTCTGAAAAGTCTTTGAACAGACCGGGCTTCCACGTGAAGGCCGATGGACCTGGAGAACCTGGCAAGTTTACGAAATCGGCTGGATTCCTAGCATATCACGAGGTAAAAAAATCAGCTACGCTGTCGTCAATAAATCGAATCGCAACAATATTAGGACATTATTTATTAATTGTTTCATTATATTTGACATATCGCTACGCAAGATATGTGATAATGTGAAGAATAACAGCTGGTCCGTGACGAAAGATTCGGAGGGCCGCGTGGGACCATACGCGTCGAAACGCGATCAATGGGTCAGCTATGACGACGTATCTAATGTAGCAAAAAAGGTATATGTGTGTAATATATGAAGATCATCACATGATATATACATCATTCCTTCGTTCACAAACGGTTCGTTATACAAATACATCATTCATTATTAGACTGCGATTGCGACTAAGACATCGAGTAAGAATTCAGCGTATTATTTTGCAATCTTAAAGCGAGTTTGATAACTCGATTTCGATTCGTTTACATTATACATACGTACGTACTTCTATCGAATTTATTTCGACCTCGTAATTATGTACATATATATATATATATATTAGGTGTTGGAATTAATTCGTAGCGTTTTTTAATGAAAGAATGTTATTTATTTCACATGAGCATTAAAAAATACATTAATGAAAGTACTTCCCATCACTTGTAAAACGCTACGAATTAATTCCAACACCTAATATGTATGAATTATCTGTCTCACTCTCAGGCTGAGCTAATAAAGAAGTTGAATCTCGGAGGTGGAATGATCTGGTCCTTGGATTTGGACGACTTCAAGGGCACGTGTGGATGCGGAAAATATCCACTCTTGACAGCTCTGAATAATGGACTCGGAAGAGGGAACGGTCACACAACAGACTGCATTTGAGTTGCGAAATCGCGATAACGTATAAGAGCGATAACGTCTCGAAGGAGGATTTTTTTATCGCTCAAGAGTCCATGATTTTATTTGGAAACTTTATTTCATTTCTCATCTCTACGTATTTGTTATAACGACTAAATTTTTTTATTAATGCTTGTTCTTATCGAATATCTATATAAATATTATACGATCTTATGAGTAAACGAGTCTTTTCTTACAATTAGTTTGAAAAGCGCGGACACACACGCGAAAATTTTATGCTATTTTTATATGTTATGCGCCTTTAATCGCGAGTACATCTCTAAAATTCTTCTGCCGAATAAAGAATTAATATTAAGTATAGCATTAAAAGTCGTACAAATTGCTCAATACGAACAAAAGATCGCATTTACAACAACACGCATTTACATTTTTTGTATAAATGTAGCGCATGAATATCGGCCATGAATAGAGTCCTCTTGAATGTAATCTTTGTCATGTTCTGATATACACTGCCAGTACTAAAATTCTATAAGTAACATGAACTAAAGATTTTCAATACTGACTGTAGTGTATATATCGGAATACGGTCCTTATTGAGCGCTTTTTTTTATAAAGATCTTTTCCATATGTATCGTAACACAGGTGATACGCCGATGTTAGACTCTATTGTATCCATTGTATGTGCGTATCGTTCTGTTTTCCATTACTATTATACATGGATAAAGCAAATGCAAATTAATTCAGTGGTTAGGTGAAATAACATGGAAATTTTTCATCAGTTTTGCGCGATGTTTCAGTAAAAATTTCTCTCGCGGTAGATAAGATATTATGTATTACGTTAATACGTTATAAGGTATATAAAAGTGCCTTAATAACGGGACGATAAATTGCGATACTTTTCCAGATGACGTAAATAATACAGCAGAAAAGAGAAAGGAGAAAATGCGAAAGTATGGAATGGTCGTATTATGCATTTCGAAAATCATCCCTTTCCGTGCGCATTTTTACGTCATCTGCGAAGATTAGAATTCTCGTGTTAGCGTAAGTGTTTTGTAATTAAGATTGTAATTATAATTGTGCTGTCATAATCGTGCATTTATCAGGAACACGGACAAAGTGACTCCTCGCAGATTAATGAAGATCAGTAGAGCGATTAAAGAAAGACAAATTGTATGTTATTACTGTTTTAAACACATCTGTACTGAATCAATAAATTACGCATCAATATATGATTACGATTTATACATACATATAGATTGAACTGATGCTCACAATGTCCAAAGAGTCATACATATATAACTGAGGTAAACGATAAAAAAGAAAAAAGTGTGAAGCAAAACATAACCACTGCATTATTTTTAATTTAACTTAATTTAAATTGATTATGATCGAAAATCATGAACCTGAACGAATCAAACGAACGAAAAAGTAGGAAAATTGAATAAATTTGCGTTTAAAATTTGTCAGAGAATCTGCGTGGTAAATCGAATTATGGTTTGCTTATCGCGAAAAAATTTTAATATGTAGATATTAAAAAAATTTTAATAGTTATCAATCGTATCAAATGAGGAAATTGCAAGATATCCGCGATCATTTCCAATTATGATGCTGCATTTCCATACAAATCACGTGAACATTTTCTATAAAGACTTGACAGATCTGTGACAGATCGCGATTGCCATGTAAATTATCTTAATGAGTTCCGAATGAAAACTGAACTGTTTCTTACATCCGAATTCTAAGATCGCGTTCAGAAATGTGCGGAATATTTCACAGATAAAGGAATAGAAAAAAAGTTAAATAATTTTTTTTTTTTAATATTATCTCAAGTTTTATCAAGTTAGTCACTTTCTGAATTTTCAAGATAAAATTAATCTTCTACTAGCACGTGTAAGTAACTGAATCGTGAAAATGTAACTTGATATGCAATTAATTACAAGGTAGAGGAGTAGAGGAGTAACCGTTTTTTGTCATGTCGTAATACATGAGCGTTGCATCAATTAAATACAACACATAATTATAACTGCGAGTTGAGCAATGAGACATAGGAATTTTATTTTAATTTTATGCTTTTTCTATTGCGACGTCTCGAGTTTTTCAAAAATGATTTGACAATAAAATACAACGTTACTTCTGCATTTCGTTTTGTGTCGCATTAAGTTTTCTACAATAAGCCATTACCTAAGCTTAAAGTCTGAAGAAATTGTTGAAGTCGTAAGAAATTGACTAATCATAGTCGAATATGAGAAAAATAATCGACTATAATTAATTGCTAATTGGTCAATTTTTTAAGACACAAAGCTTAGATAATAGATAATTATGTTTCTACACACGCACGCCTATATTTCTATATTTCTATGCAGATCTATGCGTAACCTCTGTATACGCGTTGTCTAAATCAAACGAGACAACGGTATTGGCTGATCCGATCGCTATATCGTCAGCCAGTGTACGCGGCCGTGACAATCAAAAGACGCGGAAAGAACCACGTAGTGGCGATTAGTCAGACTTCAGTCCACGTTGGCGTCGGTTGATACTGTTTGTGTACGCTCTTGAGAATCTCTGAACGTCGCGAACTTTGTTACGTGCCGAACAATATGAAAGATACAATGGACGAGAATCAAGGTATGTCTTGAGGTAAAATAAAAAATTAGTAAGGAATTAAACGAAATCGTGTGGAGAATCGGGAGAATTTCCTCCGAAAAATTTTTTAAGGACACTCTGAGTCTGCTGCAAATTGATTAAGTATGTGCATGTGTTTCAAATCAAAATTTATAATATAAATTAATATTTAATATATATTTAATATAAATTTATAACATTAATCATTTTTATATTTTTTTATATTAAAATTATGAGATTTTTTTTATTAAAATCAGGATCAAAGTTTACTTAGTTTCTATTTAAAATGAATACAGTTATCGTTGCTGTTCTTGCTCGCGACAATGCAGCGTCAACAAAATAACACAGCAGTCAGAGTTTGCATAATTAATTGCGCTACAGGAATCGATTCCACGATGAATAACTTTATTTATAAAAAAAAAAGACAAAAAGATATAGATTCGATTTGAAATGATGTCATTGGTTACAGATGATAAGCACTTCGCGTTTTGTTGTCGCACGATTTCCGTTGCTATTTTTACATGGGAACTCGTTTAAGAATCAACATCATACACACACACACATATATATTATATTCTCTCACCATAGCGCATTACGTGAAAACACATTGTTATACCCGCGCCAGTAATAATTAATGCAATACACTGTATAATCGGCGAACTTGTGGTCGCGAGTGTACGCACTATTGCGTGTCTTGTTTGCCACGTGTGAGGACGTTCTATTTTTGCTCCACGAATTTTTGATGTGAAATCCGCCAGCACCACTCTCTGTATTCGGTTCTCCGCTATCTTCGTACGATGGCAGATCGTACACATGACATAATCAAAAAAGCAAATATATTATATTCTATCTATTTGGTCAGTTCTATGCCCACATTCTTTCTTCTTCTTCTTCTTCTTCTTCTTCTTCTGCTTCTTCTTCTTGGAGAAAGAAGTTACTCATTCCTCAGACTCTAGGTATTTGTCTGTCGAGCATTACAGACAGAAAGAAATGAAAGAAAAAGCTAAACTATAAGAGAGACAGCGATGGGAAACAAAGATAAACTGTAAAGCAGAAAGAAATGAGATATAAAATCGTAGCTAAGTAGAGATTTGGTCAAAATGTAAGCATTAAATAACATGCGTGGAGCAATTTCGATGTGTTAAACATTTATTCAAAAGTAAATTTATTCAAAAAAAAAAAAGAAAATATGAACTTTGAACATACATACATATAGATACAAAGACGCAAGTCTTTACTTACGTGAATCGTAGTATAAATCAATTTGCAAGTCTCGCCTCCTAACAATCTTTTATTATTGCAACGAAATAACCATTACTTATTCAGTTTCTGAAAGTGTGGAAAGATTCGAGATGTTCTTTTGGCTGTATAATACATCAGCTAAAAGCAAAATTAGGTAAGTTAATGCTTTTTTTTATTGAAATTAAATTAAAATTAATAACTTATAAAATTAGTTAAAGATTATACGAAAAGTTAATAGTGAAAATTTTATCAAAAACTGGTGATAAATTAAAGTTACGTCAAGATCGAATTAATACAAGTTAAATAAAAAGTTAATTTTGAAAAATTTATTTTTATTTATTAAATTTTTTTTATTAAATTATCTTAATTTTTTTTTAAATCAGATTACTTTAAATTACATATCAAAACAATTGTAATATATAGATCATCGGATAAATTTAATATTTTATTTGTAAATTTTGTACAAGAAATAACAAAGCTATTTCTTGTACAATAAAAAACTGATTTTTAGTATTTTTATATTTTTATATTTATAATACATTATAAAATAAAAATATAAAATGTAATTTTTAAAAATATAGATAATCTTGTACTCCTCATTTTTGTGTTGGCCTGCGTGCACTTTCTTTGAAAATTATACGTAAATAAAAGATTTAATTTTAATTTTATTCTTTCTTTATTGCTCATTAAAGATGTACAAGGATAACATGAAGCAACAGCACTGATAATGTCGGAGCACAGACTTTTGCATAACGCATAATGCATAAAGTACAAGAAAATTACCCAATCAGAGTTTTTTATTTCGTGAAAACAAAGGAAATGAAGAACTTTGATTGGTTCATTTTCTTATGCATTATGCATTATGCGTTATATAAGATTTTGTGCTTCTGCTCATTAATGTTTCCTAAATGCAAATCCTACGCACTTTTTATCTCTGGGTATTACGAGCGTTGTGTCTATTAATATTATTATTAATTATTGAGCTTCTTTTAAATTAATTTCCTAATGTTTAAGATTTTATAGAAAATAATATTGGCGTTTAGAAAGATAACTTATAAATTAAAAAACTTATAAATTAAAGTTTATAAAAGTAATTAAATGAAGTTAAAAATTAATTCAAATTTACTTAAATAAATTAAGTTAAAAGTTATCAACTTTTTAAATTTTTATTTAACTTTTAATTTATTAACTATGGTTATTATCCAACCCTGGCTAAAAGTATTTGCCAAAAAATTAAGGAACCGATATTAACCAAAGAATTTTTGTTATATAAATATCCCCTGAAATTGCAAAATATAAAATAATAATAATGGCTTTGTGCAATAAAATAACTATTGTATATTTTGTTATATTTTGTATATTTTATTTTTAGTTTTAAAATAACTTTTAAATCAGTAATAAGTGGAATGTTTAAATAAATTTTTGCACTTACATTTATTAAAATTTTTATAGTATATAAATAGATATATTATATATGTACATATACACACGAGGTATCTCAAAATATGCGATTCAAAATACTATAGTAAGATATACTGAAAGAAAAAAGTGGCTACAAGTACCATAATTTAACTATATTTTATAATCTAATTTTTTTCGGAGGGGGGGGGGGGGGACAACTACAAATTTATAATTGTTTTAACTACACATTACAGCTGCTTCAACATTAAATTATAATGGTCATTACAACTACAACATGCATTCATGTATAACCATGTATTGCATGATTATCTCATACATTAAACGGGGGATTTATAATAAATATAATAAATTGTCTCTATTTTTAATTAACTTTAAAATATTGTGACAAACATAATTCCAAGTATAAGGAATCATATACCTGTTTATTATGGTAAAATGTATTCATATTATAATATGATATTCTACCTTTATGTATATACCTATAACATCACATCTATATTTAGAGAAAGGTCATATCAGCAACTAGAGGTTTGAAGGTAAATAGCGTGTGTGCGCTGTCTCAACTATCAGAGGAAAGTGGAGGATCTGTGCGCACCTACGGGAAATTTATTGCCCTGGAATGATTTTCCAAGTTTAAGGCGATATAAGTATGGAAATAGAAACTATAAACATTCTTCTACTATTACGTCCTCATATTATCCTCATATCGAACAGATTTTCATTCAATAAAGTTGTATTTAACCAAAAGGAAAAAACGGAAAAGTGAAAAAATTTCTCACGCGTCGGATAATTGTGAGCAAAATAAAAATCGTAAGAAATGAATGAATTGTGGAATGTTGACAAAGAAATCAGAAAATATATTCATTATATTGCAATATAAATATATATTAAATATATTTCAAATATATATTGTATATATTAAGAAAAAATATAAAACTAATATAATAATAATGCACATACACTTTGGCAAAATAACCAAACTTAATAAATAACAGCTCAAAAGAGCTCCTCATAATAACGTACTTTAATAACGTATGCAACTTTAAACAAATAAATTAAAAATACGGACTTATCACTTTATTTTCTGAACGCTAAAATAACAAGAAAAGATATGATTCCAGCACTTTTTTGTATTTCTCTGGCTAGCAAAACGTATTTATTTTTCGTATCTTTTGTAGTTATATTTTAAGAGGACGACCTCCTGCGTAAAAATTTCACTACGGTGATGTCTTCATATTGGAAAAAGAATATCAAAAGGATGCGCGTAATTCCCCCACTTTCCCCTACATATTATTATAAGAGCAATAAATAAGTTATATGGACTAAGAATTAAAATATAGTAATATTAATTATGTGTTACGATTAATATTATTATATTTTCTTAGTTTATGTAAAAATTCGTATATTATATATAGATAACTGTACGTGTACGTAAGAAGAATAATTGGAATAAAGCTTTTTATTTGTGAAATAGAACTAAAAATTGAACTATTGAGATATATCTCTCATTTATTTTTGTCTCCGAAATTCGAGCCCAATACTGCGTCTTTTGGCTGTGTTCCAAAATTGACTACTACTATTGAAAATGTATAGTGCACGTAATGTAAATTGTCGCATTTTTAGTAAATTTGGAACACGGCCCTTATTGTATGCCGACTGGTTTTCTTCTTAGGAGAAATTGAATTTCATTGCGTCCCTCAGGTGGCTTAGTTACTTCGGATGACGCCAAGTTTTTTCTTCACGATAATCCAATTGACCATTTTAGGCACTTTAATTTCAATCTATTTTATGTGTCTTGCATTATGGAATACTTGGCTAATTGCATTTATTTCGTATTCGTTTTTATTAAAAGGAATGTGACATTCGCTCTCTTATTTTTTATGCATTTGACGTATATTTTTTTCTTTTTTAAAAAAGATTTTTTAACAGTTCTATTTAATTTAATTTCTAAGGTCTGCGACTTTGTAAAATTTGCAAATAAATTACAAATATATTATAAAAGATGATTTTACATAAAAGTTGTTAAGAAAGACGAAAAATTTTAAATTTAATTACTTTTAAACCCTGCAGTAATAGAATTGTGCTCGAATTTTGCCCAATAAAATCTTAAGATTCAAAAAGAATTCGTTATTCTGACTGGGTTACCAAATTCCTAATGAACGGGGGTTTGAATGACGCGGTGCTACGAACTCTAACCTGACGTGACAAACCCGATGGGACCGCAACAGAATTGGATGGAATCTGACAGTCGGAGCACTGCGGTCATCGCCACTAATCGCCACTCGAGAGACTCGAGAGACTCGAGACTCGAGACTCGAGTCACTCGAGAGGCTCGAGAGTATCGCTGGTATCCGCGTGACGCGTCATCCGCGATCTACTTCACTGTACGTGAGAGATCCTCGTGACGCGTTCCGCGCTTGACGTTCGGCGCGGCATGACGATAGGTAAGTGATAGTTTACCTCCCTTCTTCGGAGAGACAACCTTTCGGTTGCAGTTTGACATCGAAAACGCCTTCCACATTTGAACCAAACGTGTCCTTAATGAGGAGAGCAATAGGAGGGAGAAAAATTGTAAGTAAGCGAATCCGGGGGATGTAAATTGTAATGCCGTAGCGCTATCAGCATCAGCCACCATCAGCGCGTCGCGTTCTCTCCAGTTCTCTTCATCACGATCTTCGTGAAAGCGGTGCAAACCGGCGATAAATACGATCGCATCGTGGCGACGTCGTGTTAATTTAATTGTGTAATCTTGCGCGCTCCGCATTTTCTGAATAATGGAACAGCGCTCGAATAAGGGATATAAGCAATCATTTCCTTATACTTGCAGAGACCGATGTATCCGCGCTGTGCCTCGACGTGTCAAGAGTGAAATCGTTGGCCGGAGAACCGCGGAAATCCGTAAGTTTTGCAATCATCGCTCTCCATATCACAGCTATCTGTCTGTGCGATGTCCTTTGAATTTTCTGTACAACGACGCAGTCAGTTATTATCTTTTGACCCTTACTTGAACGGATTTTTTATTTTTCCATTATAATTAGCATTCTTTATTTAATTCTGCGCGATTTAAATCATCTCTCGCAAATAAGTGAGGATGATCTGGTATGTGATTTAATTAATTGACGAAAATCAAAGAATTTTTATTATTTATGAGAGAAACTTATGAGAGATTCCAAAATTGCTTGTATTTATTTATAATCTCGTACTGATTAGAATATACTTAAAAGTATAGTACATAAAATTGAGTCTAATAAACTCGTCCGCAAAGATTTAATATATTATTTCATGCATATGTTTATCAAAATAATTATCAATAATGACACTGTTGTATCGCTACCTGTATATCGTTTGAGAGTAGTATAGATCTGATTTTCGCAAACAAACGCTATTATTAATGATATATATGTATTATAATTATTGTATATGTAAGCATCTATTAAACGTAGCGCTTTTATATGAAAAAAGATTTTTGTGTTTTGCAAAAATTTTGGCGCCAAATACTTGTCAATGGCAAGGCAATTTGTTTTGTGTCACTTTGTTTTTTTTACATTACACAGCAAAGAATAGCGTAGAATGAGTCAAAGTATTAAATATAAAAGTACAGTGACTCTCATTAATATGCGGACATCATAATAATAGAGAAACTATTATTTTTGAAATATAGTTTTTATAGGATTAAGAAATTTAATCATTAGAAACACTCATTATAGATGTAAAAAACATTAATTTTCTTTATTTAACTAATGCAGTTTTCAATGTAAAAATATTAAATAAGTTAATCCTCAATTTTAGAATCGCAAAAATATTCGGACACAATATTAAAACAAAACTCTAAATATCCAACAAAATATTAAAATTATTATCATTTCGTTTATATATATTTATATTATTATATCTTGTTAAGTGTCCGAATATTTTTGCGAATTAAGAAAAATTCTGTCTATAGTTTAATATATTCCAAATGTATCATATAAATGTAATTATAGAAATAAAATTTATATTTCTAATAACTATAATGAATTTCTCAATTTAGAAAACAAAAGCCGTAAATTTCTTACTTCAACAAAAATTATGTTTAGAAGGTAATAATTTCTAAAGTATCACGATGTCTGAATATTAATGCGAGTCACTGTATATAAAATCAAAATATTATGGATAAATTAATATCAACAATATTATCGAGCAGAATATAACAGCAGCAATATTATCGAGTCAAAAAAAAGAAATTACGTACAAATTAGCGATACAGTTATCTAATTTGTACATACATTGACGATTATTCCATTCAGTCCTAATTTTCTTAATTCATTCAGAAGCGACGCATATCTCAATTATCACGTCACCATTTTCATTTCTTCCGAAGTAGGGTAACTCTCTATTATAAGTCTCTATTATAAGTGTGCTTTTATATTTATATAAATAAGCTATAATGAAAACTATACACAAATAAATAAGAAAAAATGTTTGTTTTTTTATTAAGTTGAATTATTAATATATACAATATCCCAAAGATAATGTTTTATTTTTCAACTATTAAAATATTTTTAATGTTTTTCGAAAGACATGAAGAATTTATATGAATCCAGTAATATCGCAAGGTTTTAAGCTTGTCTCAAGGAATGCGATCCACTTCACGCTGCAAATGCTTTGAAGCACTCTTTAATTGGTTAATTCATAAAATTCTTTCTTCTGATTGGTCAACGAAATATTTGCAACGTTAAGTGAATCCCCTTATTAATGTACCTTGTATTGGAGCTAAGAATTGTCTGATACGAGTGTACTAGCTTGATCAAAAAGTTTCCGGAATTCATTCAGAAAATTCAAAATACAAGTTTATTCATCAAAAGTGATATTGTTCCCTTCAAAGTACTCTCCAGCGACTGCAACGCACTTATGCCAGCGCTTGATCCAGCTCTCGAAACATTTCTGGAATTCTATTATTGGTATAGCCATCAGAGCCGTCTTCGATTTTTCCATTACCTCCTTTCGGCTGTTAAAACGCGTTCCCCGCAGGTTTTTTGACTCGATCGAACAGAAAAAAATCGCAGGGAGCCTTATCGGGTGAATTCGATGACTGTTGGATGGTAATCGTTGTTGCAAACTCGTTGTTGCAAATTCAACTTCATTTTTAAAACTGTAAAAAATCGAAAACACACGCAGAGGTAGATGTACTCAAGACGGCGTAATTTTGACAAATGTCAAGCTATGGCGATAAAATTTGATGGAAATGTCAATGATAGATGTGGCAACCTAGCCAAAAAAAAGAACTCAAATCAGCTGACTCAGAGCATCACCTGATGGTCTCTTCCGGAAACTTTTTGATCAAGCTGGTATGTTCCATTGAAATAAATATAATTAAAATAATGATATATGTAATATATTAACTTGAACACTTAGCTTACACATATTATCTGTTTTAGTAACTGTATGTTAAAATGAGTCAAATGCACGTAAATTGGGACCATCGTCGCTCGAGGCTAATAAGAACAAAATATGTTTCTTATTTTTATCAAAAATTATTAAGTATTACATTTTTTAGATTAAGAATACATTATAAGAAAAGCAAATAAAATTAAAGCTGTAATATTTAATAATTAATTTAGTAATAAGCAATTTGGTTCAAAGGCACACTAATATAATAGGGAGAATTACCTTAATTTCTTTGCAGTTTTTAATCACCCGCAATGTATTGTATCATTAAAGATAATATGACTCTTTGGTTTTTAGATATTTTTCACTAATTTTTAATTTAATATCATAATTAATCTGGTGATGAGCTTTTTCTTTCAATTGTATGTATAATATTATTTGTAAATTAGTACTATAGTACTTTATAATAAATATTATATTTTTATGGCTGAAAAAATTAAGATTTTTCTTACTACTTTGATCTGTTATGATTTAATTGAGAATACGATGTGAGGACCATTATCCGTACGTTTCTTAAATGATTGAGATATGCTCTTTGTGTATCTCCCTGTATTAGCAAAATTATATATACAAAGTATATATATGATAAGCAAAATTTCCAAGGAAAATGTTGAGATTAAAGTATTAAAGATGTCTTTGATGTTAAAATGTTGACAAATAACATCAGCTTATCTATGAAGTATTGCTAAAACGATCGCTTTGCTAACGTAACACTCATTATTTATATTGATGCATGTTTCTTTATGATATCTCGAGCTGGAGATATATTTATATCTATATTTATAGAATTATCTTTAGAGTCAAAATATATTATAGTTTTGATATGTATACATCGTCAATATGAACATTGCAGCCCATGATTCGCATCAATTGATAGAAGAATATGCTGTGTATGTAGTGTGTGTGTGTGTGTGTGTGTGTGTGTGTGTGTGTGTGTGTGTGTGTGTGTGCGTGCGTGCGTGTGTGTGTGTGTGTGTGTGCGTGCGTGCGTTACAAATGCGTGCATGCCCTTAAGACAAAACGGTCAAAGACTATATTTGATCTATGACAAATTCATAATAATGCATGGTTGGCTATCTGACCAGTTTACAGGTAATGCCCATGGTGTGTGGTTTTGTTGAATTTTATTCCATCATTCCGTCCTGACTTTTCCATATTATCACTGATTGGTCTACGAGGGTGCAGAACATACTTCATATTGTTTACGATGCTTAATTACGTGAACGGTCTTCTGATTTTACATATCGTAAATTTTATTTTTTAAGAGATTGGTGAAGCTCGTACATTATTTTAAAGATATCGCAATATCCGCTACTCAATTAATTTTCGAAAATCGGTATTTGTGTTTTTTCTCTCTTTTTTTCCTGCATCAGTAAAGCAAAAAAAAATAACTGGAAATATTTACTAGATTTATTAGGATTAACGTTACATTGATGTAATCCAGCTATATAAATTACAACCGCGATATTACAATATATTAAACAATTCTTTATTAATGATTGTTTTGCAAAGTGGACAATATCTAAGAATTCCATTGTATAATTGATGACATGATATGAAATTATCAGAATCCATCTTCATACATCGCCATATTAAGACTCGTGCCAATAGATGCTGCAAGTAACATTTATCGATTACGTTAGAACTTGTATTTGCATTAAAAGTATTATTTGCATTTATTATGTGACTATACTGCTGAATAGAGAATAATGATAACTCATAAATATATTAATCTATATACTAATCTGTAAGTTGTACTATATATATTTGTAAGAATTAACAAAGAAATTTTTCAAGTTATCGCTCTTATTTCGCAAAATAAATGTTTATTACGCGTAATAAACAGTTCACCTTTCACTTAAAAGGAGAGAAAATTTTCTCACGATGTGATATAATTTCTAATCTGCGTAATTTCTTTTATATAGGAGTGTAACAATGCACACGATGCCGACCCTGGTGGATGGACCCCGTTGTTGGTACTGGGTGGTGCCACTTGCTGTCTGGGATCGACATTACCAGCAGGATATAACTTAGGTGTCATGAACAATCCTGCCCATGTTCGTAATAGATCAATATGCAATTTCATCGAGCATAGTGTTACCTGTAACTATACACTGTCGTATATTTGGCTTACAGCTTATGCAATCGTTCTGCAATGATAGTATCAGGGAAAGGTATAACGTACAATTGTCCAGCTATGAGCTCCAGGTACTCTGGTCTATCATAGTATCGGTCTTCCTTATCGGAGGTGTGTCTGGGTCTTTAATCGCTAGCTGGCTGAGCGACAGATTCGGACGGAAAGGCGCGCTGAGCATTGGAAATGTTTGCGGGATTGTAGGAGCCGTTCTGTTCATGTTCGTACGAATTATGAACTCAGTCGAGCTTTTTCTCCTTGGCCGAGTGATTGTCGGTGAGTTAAAAAATCATTAAATTAATCCGTGCTCGATTTAATCCGATCCCAATTAGGCATTTAATTAATACAAGAACACGTAGCGATAGAATTGTAATTGCTAAGCTCGTAAAAGCTGGTCAACTTCCTTTTTTAAAACTTATCATACTTATCGCATTACAGTATTAACAATAAATGTTGTGCCAAGTATATTGTGCAAGATATTTTAGGAAAACCGTTGAAATATAACCGTTTCTTATATCAAAAGAACGCAGAACGTTTGGCACGATGTTATATTTAAAAAATTATTTTTACTAAAAGAATAGAACCGACTGGTTTTAAATTGGTTACTTTCAATTTGAAGGCACGTATAAGTCTTCATTTTTTAAATTTAATTTAAAAATTTTTATAACATATAATGTATAATGGTTCTAAATATATTCGTAGGACTTTCCGGTGGTCTAGCTACTTCTTTGGTCCCAATGTACATGACTGAAATAGCACCTTTAAAATTGAGAGGTGCCGTCGGGGTCTTGTGTCAATTGGGTATCACCTGCGGCGTGCTGATGGGCCAAATTGCCGGGCTCGAAACTATCCTGGGCACTTCTGAGTCCTGGCATATAATGTTAGCATCTTTCTCACCGCTATGCCTCGCTGCATTATTATTAACTGTACTGACTTTGCCAGAAAGTCCAAAGTATCTGTACATAATCAGAGGAGAACAAGGAAAGGCTCTTAAAGGTATGTACAACTATCTTCCAGGTATACAAACGATCATCCAGGTGATATAAATTAGAATCTATCAGTTTGCGTTTTAATTTGTTTACCATTATTACGTTTATATCTTAAATTCGGATTGCTTTTAGAGCTCAGCCGTTTGCGCAACATGGACATAATGCTCTTGCAAAACGAGATCGCTAGCTTGCAACAAGAATTAGCAACAAGATCGGCAAATAAAACGTGGAGCATTAAGCGCGTATTGAGAGAGCCGACTGTGAGATTAGCTCTGTTCTTAGTGTGCCTCCTGCAATTTGGTCAGCAACTTAGTGGTATTAACGCGGTTTTTTATTACTCAAACACCATATTCCTTAGTGCTGGCCTGGGAATTGCTGGTGCTCAATATGCGACTATAGCCACTGGTGTTGCAAATATGGGAATGGCGGTGATTTCCGTGATGGTAATGTCACTATTTAGCAGAAGAAAAGTATTGTTCCTGAGTTGTTACTTATGCATAGGATGCCTTCTCTTTCTGAAACTCTCTATCGCACTAATTGTAAGTATAAATAATTTTAAATAACATATTTTTACGATATGTTTATTATATTATAATTTCAATAATATATATATATATATATATATATATATATATATATATATATATAAGATTATTAAAAATAAATAGCTATAAGTGAAAAAATTAAACTGATAACAATAAATCAAATAAGAGAAAGAATTCTATTTTTGATCAAAGCGGATCTTGATGCTTAATAATATTCATATTTGCAACAAGTTGTTTGCAGTTTCAAAGACGCTTATTAGCATCATTATTAAATTGGCAATTAATTTGTGATATTATTTTCAGCTTCAATTTATGATTGCGTTTCAAATCTGACAAGCCAAATCGGCGCGATTTATAGAATTGAAAAATATATTTGCAAATTTGCATATGATCATTAATAAGCGTCACTTCAATCGAAAATAAGATTCTTCCTTTTACTTCATTTTTTAAATAATGCTGAATCTTAGTAAAGTGCAAATCTTTACAAAGCAATCTATACATTCTTGAGTATACATCTTTTTACAGCACAAAGCCTCATTCATGTCATGGCTTTCCACTGTTTTGGTACTGGCGTACGTAATATCTTACGGTATCGGTCTTGGTCCTATACCGTATTTCATCGGTTCTGAATTGTTCGATGTAGGTCCTAGGCCTTCCGCTATGTCGTTAGGCAGCATGTTTAATTGGGGAGGCAACTTCCTCGTCGGGATGATGTTCCCTTCGTTACAGGCTGCGATCGGCTCGTACGTCTTTCTGATCTTCGCTGGGTGCATACAGATCTTGGTGATAATCAATCAGTACGTAATATAATTTATTACTGTTATTCCACGGCGTGATATAATAAACGTGATTTGTAACGTAATGTGAAACTATAATGTTACAGGACCTATTTGCCTGAAACGCGAGGTCGAAGCACGACCGAAATAGCGGCAGCTATGACTCAAGGCTTCAAATCAAAACCGAATGCAACATTCGCTGCCTAAAGCTGAGTGCTTGCAATTCGGCTAAATACTTTTTATACGGTTTTTTAATGAAATCAATAAATCATTACCGCCACGTTGCTCATACGCGAATCACAATTCGCGTGTTGTGCTGATATCTGATTCAATAGCACATTGATGTAAAAAAAGGCTCTTTCTGGTGCAAGATTAATTTATTCGAGCGAAAAAATTCAGGAGCACTATGTGAGCGAATTTTATATTGACTATTTGTATATATTCTATCTCGTAAATATTCAAAATAGTATAGTATAGAATGATGTTATAAGATACAAAGATGATTAGAGTACACGCGGCTAAGATTTTTTTACATTTATATAATATTTTAACGTACGTCCATAATTTTAAAATTTCTATTGATACTTGAGCGATCACTGCCAATTCGTAACATCAATTTATTCGAATAGAGATATGTAATATTTAATAATCAACATCCTTGAAAAATCTTACAAAAGTCTCGCTTTGCATTTATATATCTAGGAGATATATAAATACACTAAAATACATGTATAATTTGTATACAAATTTAAAACTAATATCAATCGGTTCGTGTTGTAAAATTATTGTACAGTTGATCTAGTTTTTCATAAAACACTAAGCACAGAACCGTATGCGGCGCTATCCTCATCCACGTTGGAAACGTTCCTTTGTACAGACCCGTCAGACCTTCGGTGCGGAATATCTTGACGAGTGCGTCTCCGAGTCCTTTGTATAGAATACCTTTGCCGGCCGCGTCTGTCTCTGCGTATACATGGGTGTGTTTAAAACACTTTTAAACAGTTGGCGATTTTCAAAGATAGCAATAAACGCATAAAATTAGTCTACTTTTACGAAATTTGCGCTATTAAAAGGTCTGGCGTTTAGAGCGATATATCAAGTCTTCTATTTCTAAATGTTTTCTCTAACCGAATGTTCAATATTACTCGCTAGAGAAACTTTATGATGAATCCTTTATGCAAATTATATTTATAGTTACGCGCATTAGGATCGTATTTATAGTAGCGCATATATTACATTATATTTATAGTCACGTATATCAATTAATTGATATTAAACATGTTATCCTCAGTTTTATCGTAAGATATATCCCGAGCCGAACAAACACGATAGAAAGTAATACTTTATCGAATAAGAAAGTATGAGTATGTTTTACATTTGTCCGCTATTCAACGTACGTTTAAATATATAAAATTTCAATTTTGTGCAAATGTTGATCGTTGTAAGTTCAGCGACACAATCGTGGCCTTCAGTAAATCGCGCGTTTAACATAACAGACTTTGCCACGTAGATTTTTGTGCAATATACTCACGTTGATTGTACAACCGCGTTGCTAAGACATCGAACGGCTGCATGGTGATGGCTACGCAACTACCTCCGATCACGGAGGCCAAGAAGGTCAGCAATATTGGACGATCTGGAAATATCTGAGAGAAATAAAGAATCCGTCGCGTCGCGTCGCGTTGTATCGATGAGTATAATAATCCTTGAATCTCGCACTGAGATCTATCAGATATCACCGATCGGTGCTTTTAGACGTATTTAAAAAATCGAAATTGTTGTTGGGACTTTTTTTATATCTATTTTTAAAATCGCGCGACATGCATTTACCTTTGGCTGTTCGCCAGCAGTTGCCAGCAGAGGAAACTCGGGGGTGGAAAAGGAGAAAAATATTTAGAAAGCGAGAGACGGTCAAGTATTACTTACATTTAGCGAGCGCAACCAGTCCAATGCTAATCCAAAAGTAGTCAACTGCGTCGCCGAGCCGACGAATACGCGCGGCATGTTGGCGTTCCATCCACGATATAAAGCCGCGATGCCGCCTTCCATCCACAAAGATTTGAAGGCATTCCACGATCCCGAATGACTGTGCTGGTAGCCCACGGCGATGGATTTCGCAGATTGCGCCTGTAATTGCGTCTTGACCTGCAGGATAATTGTATGAAGAATATTTCTGACGCTCTTATTACTTATATATTTCTAGGCAGATATTTATATCTCTTGTATCTTTATTAAATCAACTTTTGATCCAAAGACATTTGATGTATATGTGTTCACTTGCGAGCAACCCTGGTTTTTTATCTTATCTTATGTTTTTTTGTTAATCTTCTTCTGGTATTAATTTTATTTAAAACAAGCTTGGTGATCATCAAACAATTGTGGAAGTAAAATTTTCTTTTTGAATTTTGAAAATATTAAAGTTATCGTAACAGGGGTGGAGTGTATATGTACACATACATAATTTTATATGAATTCGAAAGAAAGAACAGTCAGCTTGAAGTTACAATTTCAACAGACGAAGAGACTTGCCAAGTTATAGAATAAAAGTCAGTGTACGTTATGTATCATCAAAATTACTCTAAAATGATTCCTAAAAATCACTTTTCCATCAATAACGATTTCATTTTGTCATTATCGTGACTCGATCCGAGGGAAGATCTTGGAGGAAGGGCGAGTGAACATAACAATTACCAGATAGAACGGACTGCCGAGGACGGCGCCGACGCAGCCGGCCGTGCCGGATACCAGAGTGGTTCGTAGAACATCGGTATTGCCTTGTTTGTCAACGATCAGTTCGTATCTCTGGGCAGACTTGTATGCGCCCAAGCGAATACCGTTGAGCACCACCTGGAAGGCGAGCGCGGGCACAATTCCCGCTTGTAGAGCCAACGCACCTTCGTGCTTAGCTATCAGATACGCGGCGTGCACGGTATTTTTGTATATCTTCTGATACGAGCCTCGCGCCTCCAGCTCACCCTGCAGTTGCAGCCGCACCTTCACCACGTCCACGGGATTCGTGAAGAAACCGGCTCCCACCGCTGCCAAGGCACCAATTCCGAACTCCACACCCAGCCTGAAAGACAATGAAAGAACATGAAACAGATCAAACAGATCAAACAGATGAGATAATCGAAAATCAAACACGAGACAATTTGATTTTTCCAACACGTTGGAAATAAATTTTCTTTCATTTCTTCCTCTCACCCTAATTTACTATTAATTTAATATTAGATAGTTTATTCGTTTCTCTAGTTGTTTATTAATATGTAAGATCTCTTGTAAGTGTGTGGCGCGTGTGTGATCGGTATATTTTTAATTTTAATTTTATTTTACTATTTCGCAAATAGTACGTTAATTATTTTCATTTCTGTATTTGTAGATAAATGTTTACACGCGCAAAAAATAAAATTTATAAAGTATCAAAAACTAATGAAAAATCTGTTTTCCATATAATTACAAAGTATACGAAATGATTTATTAATTTAATCTTGACGGACAAATATTTTTAACATACGCAATCTTACAAAAAAAAAACATTACAAATAAAAGTTATATATGTATATAAACGATACCATAATTGTACATCTCCCTCTATACTGTACAATACTTTTATTTAGAATGTTTTTGATAAAATTGCATGTTTCCGAAATATTTGCCTGTTAAGAAAAAAATGAATCACTTAATTTATACATACAATAGTTGAAGAAAATATTGTTTAATTTGGATAAATTGAAAAAATTATATTAGGTGTTGGAATTAATTCGTAGCGTTTTTTAATGAAAGAATGTTATTTATTTCACATGAGCATTAAAAAATACATTAATGAAAGTACTTCCCATCACTTGTAAAACGCTACGAATTAATTCCAACACCTAATATTAAAAAATAATATGTGTATATTAAATATAAAATCTTTAAATTAGAAAAAAATGCTTAATATCTCTGTAACTAAAAATTATTAATTCGTGATGAGAATATCTTCACACAAAGTAAGTTAATTGCTACCGATTAGGTACTCTTAATTCATTTATTTGCTATTGAAAGCTAATTAATTTCGATTATCAATTTTACGAACTGTACTATTATATACGAATCCCTTTTGATTCACTATTGAACATAAACTATATACGACTATATACATAAAATGACCTTGACTTATATATTATTTACATCACTTTTCATGTATTAATTCCATCGTCTTTTGAAATGATATTTTATCGATAAGAAAAGAAAATCATTGCACTCTTTGGTTTTTAAACTGCAAATCTATCAAAAATAAAGTTTGAAAGATTTAAAGAATTTATTTAATCATTCAACACAGTATTTTATTGAATCAGAACTCGAAATCGAATCATCAACGTTTCTTGACGTTTTTGTTAAAGGATTGTATCTACGTCGGCAGCTCTAATTGTAATATATCAGGAAAGAAAAGTGACTTTTAATTATTAGTAACATCTCGCACTTTACATATCCGTGTCAAAGTGACTGCCGGTTGATTGTTACATAACACTCGTGAATCACTGGTGGTACGCCGACGCGGCCATCAGTTAAGCGGCACACAAGGGAAATTGGGTCAAGAATAGTCGATGATCGAGAATCACGAACAGGGAACTGTGAAACGTGAAAGTGCGCACCAGCGTGCCATCTAATGCACCAGCACGAATCGATGTACCCGACCGCACAACCTAACCGATATAATGAATGAAAACGATCGCGCACAATGCTTACGTTTTCTCGGTGACCATGCTCATCTTTTCGTCTCTCGGTCCTCGGAAGGAAAGCGAGAAACAAGCCAATTTTCTTTCAGTTACTCTCACCGGGGAGCAACGATAGTTTATATCGGATGCAGCGCCGAACGTAAAACTTAAGTCGCGTGCGCCTTACACTCGTACACGATATATAAGCAATCCTAACGTACGTTTATATTACATCTCCCCCGTACATCTAAACCCTCCTTATTGTTAAACACGCACAATAATCTATTCACGAGTGATATTAACGTATTATCAGACCGAGTCACGTGTGTCGCAACTCATCACATGAACATGGCATTTTTTGTATTTCGAAATACTTTAAAACCCGCGTTTATTCGAATAATTTCTTTTTAACTGACTGCTTATATAATAATATTCCGATAAATCTCAATCTGTGTTACACAATCATTTGGTTGTCCATCTAAGAAAAAGTTTTCGAATCTTTATCTGAAACATTTTCCAATCCTCATTCCTATCTATTAGGTGTTGGAATTAATTCGTAGCGTTTTACAAGTGATGGGAAGTACTTTCATTAATGTATTTTTTAATGCTCATGTGAAATAAATAACATTCTTTCATTAAAAAACGCTACGAATTAATTCCAACACCTAATATATAGATCCCATTCTTTCCATTTCTTTGTGCTGACCTTTGCTCCGTTTTTATCTTTTCCGTTGGGATTTCAGTTTTTGATCCAAAAAATCTATTTCCATCTAAACGGATCTTCTCATATACTCATCTTTATTCTGTTTTATCTTTTTTAGTATTGTAATTCTGAATTTCTTCTTTCAAAATTCTTGATTTTCGAAAAACACGTCCACTTACTTTTTTGATTATTGTCTCAATATTGTGTCTTCATGAGTTGAGGAATTACGCGCGCTTTACACTATACATCGACTTATTAAACGAAATTACAAATATAGGAATGGACTGTTGATCTATTAAAATCGATGCTGTCAAACATAATGAAAAATCTTGACATTGTTTCACTTGCAAATTTTTCAGATAGTTTTCTTTTGGATATACAGGTATCTCACATAAGTGACTAGACGAGCTAGATCATTAAAAAAAAAAACATTACATTAGAAATAAGTAAGTTTTCATTGCGAGTACGACTAATGAAAACTGTCCATGTTGAAAAACAGAGGAAATTTTATTATCTTACCAGTAATGTTGAATATATACAATGAAATAGAATTTTTTATTACTTACAAATTAATTAAAATAAAATCTATAAAATTATAATTACAAAATTATGTACACTTTATACATGGGAAAAGATCTTATATTTGTTGGAGCAAGTCCACAAATACCATCTACTTGTTCAATATCATTATTTCAATTTTAAAGTAATATCATTACGCGACAGATAAACTTCCACCAGCTTTAGAAATCTTTGCAATCTCTTCCTTGAATTTTGCAATAGTCTCTTTTGCCAGAGTCAATTTCTCTTTCAAATCTATCACTTCGAGTCTAATCTTGTTGCGTGCCTCCATAATATCTTTCATCGTAGATTCTTTCAATGCTTCAACTGCAATAATTATAAATTTATTAAATTATCATTAAATTAATCCAAGATGAAATATACATCCATAATTTGAATACAAACAGTCTGTATTATGTCGCCAAGCTCCAAGCGTCATTGGCCTACTAGAACTCAGTAGATGTTGCATCAAAGCTGTTGGATCCTGAAAAACTATCTCCTCATAAAATTCGGATACTAGACTCTTCTTTCCCAGTTGTATCTCGGGCGTCGATTGAAACAATTTCAATATATGATATACTGTTACCTGAAATTGATTCACATATTTTTTATAGTTAATGAAATAACAATTAGATTCGGGAATTTTTAGTCTCACAGCAAGCTTTTTCACTTACGGGACGTTCGTTTGGATCATGAAAATAAATCTTAATGACTATCTCAAATTCTCCCCAGCCAGTTTCCGTCAATTCATACGGTGGCTTTGTCACAATACGATTAGGATTGTTGTAACTCTCATGCAGCTTGAAATGCACTTTCTTCACATAGGTAGACATGTCCTCGTTATTATATGGTTTGACATACACGGTCCACTGATGCGTGTGTCCATCTTCCTCTCTCTTTTTGCCAAAGTACCGCGCCACATTTCCGTAAACTATAGGCTTGATTATTGTAACTCCCTGTTAGAAGCAAATCACTTAATAAAGTAATATGTCAATTTTTATTAAACAAATCTTGTAGCGGCAAACTTATTGTAAGTAGTTTGTGCTACAGTTTATTAATTTTTTTAGGTTACCTTTATTCTACCACCAGAATCTGGACCGAACTCATTTGTGGATGCCATTGCCTTCGCGATAAGCTTGATATCACAATCTCGCAAGTTATCGGTCTAACAAAGTCACAACTTCAAAGAGTTATTTCAACTCCAAACTTTCAAAAGTTCCTTAATTTTTCTTCCGCCAACATAAATATTTACTCAATTCCCAAGCGCTATCTAACGGATACCGGTTGGAAATGTTAGAAATTAATATGGCGGCATATCAGCGCACAGTATATATGTACGTATTTGTGTTTTAAAAAGTGATCACAATGATTATATGGTCATATTATTTTTAAAATTATATATAATAAGATAGAATAATAAATATGTAAAAAACTAGAAGGCACAATGTAAAGCCGGATAAAATTTAATTTTAGCTGATTTATCTCCGTCATATAATATTTACACACGCACATTCGCATGCATACGCGCGCGCGCGCCTTATATATATGTGTGTGTATGTATGTTTATATATATATATATATATATGTGTGTGTGTGTGTGTGTGTATGTTTATATATATATATATATATATATATATATATATATATATATATATATATATATATATATATATATATATATATATATATATATATATATATATATATATATATATATATATATATATATATAATGGATTCTGACTTGTCCTCTTTATATAAAGGGAGCTTGTCCTCAAAGTTTGTCTTTTAAAAATTGACTAAAATAAAAATTAATGGATATAAACATTTTTTCATATTTATATATAGGAATAAAAGGAAGGAAAGGGACAATACATCTGTTGTCCGTCTGATTGGAGGGGCTATGGGCGTACTATCGCTTTCAATTGTTGTATTCTTATATATAAATATTTATATTCATTAATTTATATTTCAGTTAATTTTTTTCAATTAATTTTAATTATTCTAGTTATAATAAATATAGGATGTAAAAGACAAACTTTGGGGACGAGCTCCCTACTAAATATAAAAAAAAGTTGATATAAACATAGCAAATCCACTGTTATCGAGATTATTAATAGGGCTCGGACACGATCTCTCGATCTCAATCCGATTTTTATAGAGACATTTAAAACTTTTTTAATTTATTCAGATTGACATCAAAGGCATATATAGTACTCCAAGTATCTTTGATGTTTATGAAACTATTCGCAACCGCTCGGAATTTATAACGTCACAATTTCAACATAGCCGCCGCGACTAGTAAAGAGTCTTAAAAATTGAATACATTTTTGAAAGAAAAGCGATAATTTAATAACTAAATAAAACAAAATTTTATTCTACACAATTTCGCTTCTCAGAAAATGTCCTTTACGAGATTTGTATATCATTCTTAAAAAAAACACGCTTACTTTTTAATATTAAAGAAAATGCTTATATATTATCAATTTTAATGACTCAATGTTTCATCATTTATCTGGATTGAAAATTCATTCATTTTCTCGTAAATAAATATAGCGCATGTATTTACGTATATATGTTATACATACAGAATAAATCTTCTACGTAATACACGTATAACTCATTATAAATATAATATAGGAAAAATATAGGAATATCTAAATCAGTAGAGGTGGATTAATTCATAAAATTGCATGTGTTATTTATTATTATGTTTCTCAATGATCGAGATACATATCCATATCGAAATTCGTACGTAATTCAGCTACTTAATATACAAGATCGCAACGTACATGTTAGAATGGATTGAACTGTAACGTATTCGTTAGCTTGATCGGAAGTATTATCGCACAATCTAAAGTATTGTACTATTATATCTCGATACCTTTACGTAGTCGAGTATTATTATCAATGTCACAATTTTACGATATTTGGATCCATTTCGGAGTCGCTTTGAAAAGCATCCGACGACAATTCCGAGATAATGTTTGAAATATGGAAGTAAAAAAGAAATATCTACTTTCAGATTCGCGAGCGAGCACTTCGAAGTACGTATCTGCCGAATAAAAGTAAGATTTATAGACTTGTGTCTTGAAACCACGGTACGTGTCTATCGTCCAAGTATTGTTTATCAAGATATAAATACCTTTCTTCGGCAAATACTTCAAAGCACGCGCTGATCAGAGAACGCTTGTCTAGAAAAAAGAAAAAAAAGAGAAAAGAATCATCCGTCGTGTAAAAGACGCGTGTGTACGTGTACACGGGCTGACAGACTCTTCCTCTTCTCATCAACAATCATCCTCACATACGTTCTTCTCACTATCTAATTAGACGGCGATCGAAAAATATAAAAATCACACGCGCGCAGTACGTCCGTGTCCGACATCCCGTCCCACAGGATCTGCATCGTCGCGGAGGATCTTCCGCGTCTGTGCCCTATCTAGGATTCATAGGATACATCCGATCTGCGCCGATCGCGCCTCGTCTCGCTTTTGACACATGTAGGAAGAAAAGGGCTCGGATGCGCGCCGATTCACGCGCGCGAGAAGTCAGCTGCCGAATTTATGCTGCTTCAACGTCTTGGTATATCAACGGTAGGGAATAGCTGCGCCGTAAAATTCGTTGTTATCACGTGCATAGTACCTTCTCCTTTCCTCGGAATCGCTCTTCCAAATATCCTGGGATCTGAAAATTCAAAGTTCCACAACGGGCATTTTAGCATTTGCCGAAAATATATGTGTGCATTGCGGAAAGAAAAGAGCAATTTACATGTAGACGCAGCTGAGTAGGAGAGATTTCTCTTCTATCGAAGATACATGCTCTACAGCAGATTTGCGACAAAAAGATTTTATTAACGTATCAAAACAATTGAGATCAGATGCTATGCTACAGCTTCGATACAGGTCTTTGACTCTTTCATGAATAACCGATCACGATGCTAGCACCCGTTATCATACACAAGAATCAAACACATAATTGCGCGTGTACAAGTATAATTTGCCTTGTGTATCAGGAGATACAATCCATTCATCTTTTCTGTCTACATTTGCATTCTGATAATCTTTTATAATTAATTTGATCAAATAATTAATAAATTTCACAAATTTTTTAACTAAAAAATATATATATATATATCTACAAGAATATATAATATTATTTAATTTAACATAAATGAATTCATTATTTTTCTCTAAGCGATCAAAATCATAAATATGTTTAAATTACCTACATTATGCAATCATTACATACACACACACACATTGATAAGTACAAGTTTAATAAAAACTTATCATATCGCTGTGAATAAGCTTAATAAGAACACACATTAGCGTTTGGTACCATCACGATTCCGCAATGTCGATGCTTTATACTTATACTTTCTGAAAAAATGATGAAAAGATAAATCTAAAGATTAATAATTATCCAGCAAGAATACGATTACAAATAATTATCTTTTTATAATTTCACACAAGACTGACATTATGCGACAATTATATGTATAACAATATAATATTTTATATACATAATATAAACATAAAATTTAGAGTGTAAAACACACAAGTGACATATTTGTCCCAGGTCCGTAGGAAAAGTGCATGCGACGAATTTATAATTTATGAAAGTGGTTTTTTTGACGGATGCAGATGATTCTAGGATGAGGTTTTGATTAGATACAAGAAAATAGTCCATTTTCCATTACAGCTAACAGAGTCAGGCATTCTGGGAACATTAAAACATAAGCAGCGCATAGGAATTATATATTTTATTGGCATAAAGTATTGGTAACGGAAAATTTGCAAGCAAACAGCAAGATACTTGCTTTCGTCATCTCTACTTTCAGCAAGTAAAGCGCACTCGAGGGAGAAAGATACAGTTGTTACGACTTTATTATGATAATTTCTACCTTTGGTTTCGGTCGATGAGTATCCACAGCTTCTATCGGTAGTCGAATATGCTCCATCTTGCAACCATAGGCAACAGGTGTTAATTTCATGATGGTATGCAAAGGTACTTCTAAATACGGTAATTCATCTGAAATAAGAAAAAAAAAACAACTTGAATGAATTGTATTAGAATTAATTAATTATATTATAATACAGAAATAATTTTTTATTTTTATGGGGCATCTTATATTAGATATATGCTTTTCGTGCCGTATCAATGGAATATGAAAGAAGGAATCGCGTACTGCGTAGGAAGAATGAGTTACTTTGCTGAACAAAACGAATAATTACGTTACTATAATCCGCTTTTGCGTGCATGACTGTTTATCATTTCTTTTCTCTACACATTTTGATACGTCGAAAGTCAAAAATTATGCTTAACATCTCGACATTCCAATCTCTTCATTCTTGGACGTCATCACGTGTTATGTATTATCAGACATGTTATCAGTGATTGTATCACTTCGATTTGCGCATGCAAGTAATCAAAAGAGTAAGAGAACAAATTTCAATGTCCTATGAGACGATGATAAATTGTTATAATTAAAACACTGACCTGCACTCTTGTCCAGAAAATAAGCGAGTAAACATCGTATGACTGCTTGATGACTGACAACTAAAACATTACCCTGACGTTCCAGTTCCATTATCACAGGCTCCAGTCGTGCAACAAGATCTTCGTAACTTTCTCCCCTTGGATAACGATAGGAGAATTTGTTTTGATCTCTCGCGGCAAAGTCCGTAGGATATTTCGAAGAAATTTCTTCGTAAGTCATTTCTTCACAAATACCCTAAATTGATCCACAAAGAGAGGCCAAGGTAAGAAATTGCTTAACTAGTCTATCTAATGTTTTAACTTACAGCATCAATTTCGCTGAGAGCCTTCCACCTTTCTTGCGGTGCCTTTACATCAGCCGCAGTTTGAATGGTCCTTTTCAGCCAGCTAGTCCAAACTCTTAAGCCCTATATGCAGATATAATGTTGTTTAACATAAGAGTGAGATTGTTTCAAGAGTCGAGCGTAATCAAAGTAACATGCAGAGAATAATACGGCGCTTGTATAATGTATATAAAAAAATATGCGCACTTTGATCATTGAATATATAGTAAGTACATTATATTTTAAATTTTAATTTTCTTAAAAATGATTATACACATCTCTATCTATTCTCATATTATTTAAAGCTGAGATTATTATAATCGGAATTAAAATCAAATAAAATTTTTATCGCGACATATGTGTGTGTGTGTGTGTGTGTGTGTGTGTGTGTATATAAAATTAATAAATCGATAAAATATGCGTTGTAAGAAGGTCAAGAAGGATTACCTGTATATTCTGATTACTGATGTAATCTGCTAATGCCTTGCCATATTCATGGCCTCGCTCGCTCAAGTCCGAATCGCCGCCTATCCTGCCCTCGAGGTTCATCAGGCTTTCACCATGCCTGGTCAAGTAAATCGTACGTGGCACAATATGAATGTTCATAAGATAGTAAACTATTCTACTTTGTATATGGCCTTCGTGCTTATGGACCAGCACCTTCTCGCCGGTGTTGTATATTTTCATGAATGACAAGTCGCTCTCGCGTTCCTCGTCCAACGGCTGATATCGTTCCTGGTAATGCTCGATTCGCAGCATAAAGTCCGCAAGTACATCCTCCTTCTTCATGTTCGCATAATCCGGACTACTGACTTTCACCTGGATAACAGAATTAGAAAAGGTTTAAATAAATACTTGTGTTTATCAATCATATATCTATTAAATCAATTATATATTAATATTAATTTACGAATACTAATCTACTGCAACACAACAACCAATCGATATTTTCACACATACACACACACACACGCGCGCGCGCGCGCGTGTATATGTATATTCTGCTTCCTTTTTAAAAAAAATCTCTTTATTAATCTCATTAACCATCTTAAAAAGTTACGTGTGTACACGCACACGCACATGCACACGTACACGCACACGCGCGCGCGCGCACACACACACACACACACACGTTACGTGTGTGTGTGTGTGTGTGTATATATATATATTGAATGTTAGTTAAATATGTTGCCATACTCAACAGAACAATTCTTTGGTTTATTTTAAGTAAAAAAGTCCATATAAACATGTGTCCTAAACGACTTAGTTTCCGAAATACAGAATGTTCGCAAATGTTTGACGAAACGGTAAATTGCTTTGGAAATATCTTCCTGCATAAATATGCCTTGCTTCACCATTCCTTGAATTACCATTCGCAAAACCGTAAACAAAGTGACAAATCAAAGTCAAAGTTACAAAATCAAAAATAGACTCTTCCTAGATCACTAGACTTAAATCTTTGGATTATTTCCTTTGGAGGCATCTGTAATCATTGGTTTATACCACCCCAATTGAGAATGAGAATGATTTGAGGAATCGAATAATTGCTTCATGCGAGGCAATACGTAACACACCTAGTATCTTTGAGCATGTACGTCAATCTTTGAGAAGAAGGCTCGATGGATATATCATGATGCAAGGTGGACATTTTCAACAATTCATCTAATTGTTTTATTTCATCAGAAAAACTGAAACCCGTTTATGTTTTTCTGTTTTTGACTAGTAGTCAAGCTGTATTTCTTTCAGACAAATAAACAGATTATTGCTACACGTTTAAATTTTTTTATTTCGGAAACTAAGCCATTTAGGACATATGTTTATATGGACTTTTTTACTTGAAATAAACCAAAGAATCGCTCTGTTGAATATGGCAACATACTTAACTAACACCCTGTATGTGTGTATGTGTGTGTGAGGGAGGGAGGGGGGTGGTGTGTGTACGTTAAATTAAAATTGATATTAATTCTCATATACAAACAACTTATTGTCCAATCGCTACTTTTAACTATTTCTAAAGTACATACTTCCATAATGTTCTGCTCGACGATCTCTGGATCATTGCACACCGATTCGACGAAGAATAGCTTGAAACCCATCTTGCGTACAACGATATCGCGTATCAGCTGACGTCTGTCGACCGTAGAATTGGTGGCGTCAAAGACGGCCACTTCTCCGTCACCGCTCTCCAGCCACTGGCAGACGTCATTTAGAGCGTCCTTCGCACACTGAGTGCGTATTGCCATAGCCTTTATATTGTCGGGACGGAAGAACTCGTGGCACTGATAGGCAGTGGTAGCATGCCGCCTATATTCGCCCAAGTTGAAAACCTTTGTGCTGATACCGATCCAGTTGAGGTATCGGCACAACTTCTTGGATATGTAGGTCTTGCCGCGAGCCGGCAGACCAACCATCGCGATTACATGAGGTTTATTCACGAAATTTGCACGTTCACCTGTAAAAGAGATGAAAATATGAAAAATAAAAGGATATCTAATAGAGATGAATATTGGACGCAGGAAATTAAATGCCTGAAGAATCATTAATAATCCCTCAATTGATAGAGCTATTTTTAGATATTATACGTATAAACATTATCAGGCACAAATACTCAATTACATTTTGAATATATGGTCTTCTTCATCTATATATATTGAAGCTAATTTCTATTTCGTATATTTAGACTGGATTGATAGACTGTATTAATTTCAATATCAACACGATAACCCAAAATCTGGTTCAATATTGTAGTATCGAGATACGTTATTAAATTTCGCGCTTCTACATGCAACAGATGTCCGTTCGACAATTGATATACTATCAGCTGTAATTTAGCTTTAAAAAATTGCAGTTACATAATTTGATCCTTGTTATCTATGTATATATACGTATGTGTACAAATATGCCACCTTCTCTTTTAACTCTCTTACGGAACTAGATCTAATCATACATTACGAGACACTTAGAAAATTTTTTTTCGAGATTTCTTGACGTGATGATCAGACCGTATAATACATATCATGGTTCTACTAATTATCTAATCATAAATCTCGAATACAGGAGATATAATTTAACATGGAGACGCTGTACTTGAAAAATGAAATAAGATACTTTAGAATTCGTCCGAAGTACTTTTAACTTTTTTTTAAAAATTTATATACATAATTATTCCAATCACATATCATTGTTAATCGTCGACAAATAATTCTGCCTGAAGGGTTTATAGTTTACAGTCTCCGTTTCGCATTCGCATATATCTTTAATAAAAGTAATATTAAAATAAAGTTAAAATAATAATTTTAAATATAGTCACATAGTCAGTTTTATCGGCTCAAGATTGAAAATACATAAATAAATCGTTTTTTATATGTGAATAATATACCTATGGATTTTTTTTAAGGGTGTTTATTCTTCTTCCTCGGATATTTAATACGCTTAGCGCATTATCTGAGGAGTAATTTATCAATGAGTTTGCTTCCTTGAAAGCCGATAATATGCATATATTACCATATCAAATTGTTTATCCTTGCACACGAAGGAAATGAAACATAGCTAATTCCATCAACAAACTCGGATATTATAAGAGAGATTCTTTTTGTTTTTGCCTTATTCACGAAACATTCCTCGAGTGCTCAAGGTTGCTAGTGGAACAAAAAGTGATAATTTATCTTGCAGTCTCAACGCGATATGCACATATCAAGTACATTCTGCTTGTCGAAATGTTTCTCCGGGAGGACAATGACTAAGAACAACGTTATAACGTTATTACGATATAAATGTTCCACGCGCTATCTGGAAAAAGATAAATATTTGGTTTTTTTCTTTTGTTATTTCACAACTTTTTTCCTGTTAAACTAAAAACTAAATGTATGCTAATAGACATGTCGGTGAAAAAAGAATAATAATTGAATAAGTATAATAATTGAAAGGATGCAATAAAACGACGCGCAACTAAGATCTTCAGACGAAATCGATTTAATTAATATGTGTTCGTGTCCCTCTGATTAGATTTATATTTTGGACATCGGAGAGAGAGAGAGAGAGAGAGAGAGAGAGAGAGAGAGAGAGAGAGAGGAGATACCTAAACAAATAAGATTGTCTTATCATTTTTGCAAAAAATATACGTGATGGTTAAATGTCGAAGGTGAATTCGCGTTTGTAGGAGTTGTAGCGTGAATCGAAAGTACAAGTTTTCCCGCTCCTGCGCTTTCCAGCGACGAGATCTGACGAGCTGACGAGACTCGACCTCGTATCTCGCGCGGATACGTAGACAGCAAAACCGGTGCGATGATCGCATTATTACAGGGGAGAAGACACCCGATACATTGACCGCGAGATCGGAGACCTTGAACTTGCTCCGAAACGCAATCGCGAGCTCACGTTCCTCGCACGTGTTTGATCTTACGAGAGTTACGAGTGCGTGGGGAAGAAGGATGACGAAGGGGAAAGGAGAAAGAGGTATAGCGCTGCGCACTAAGAGAGAGAGAGAGAGAGAGAAGAGACCCTCAAAATATTACCTCGAATTGGGAACGGTTTCGTCTGGATGGTATCCGACGTCGGTGGGGTGTAATGCATCTCGATTTCGGAGTCGGTCATCCTTCGCGGAGCCAATCTGTCCCGCCGTGAAGAAGAGAGACGACGTGAGACAGAGAGAGCCGGAGCGAGATGGAGAGCGAACGGTGAAGATTTGCATACACTCATGTGCAAGCTACCTCGAACTAGACACACTGTGTCGACGTACTACGCGTACTGACCGACCAGGAACGAGCACGAACGACGAACGGTCGGCAGATAGTCGCCGCCACCGCCACCGCCACCACCGACGGGTATCATACGTCACCTATCAGAACGACGAAACTGCGAGACTGTGTAGTGGGGACGGGGACGAGGACTCGGGGGAGAAGTGCTCGGCCAGCTCCGGGTCGGGCCGGGCCGGGTTAAGTTAGGTCTGATAAACAGACCTGTCCCATTGTGTCCCACTGATGGCGCCTCTTTCTCTCTCTCTCTCTCTCTCTCTCTCTCTCGCGCGCGCGCGCGTCTATGATTCACAGTTCCAGATAATTTAGATTACTACAGTCCTTGAGAATTAAGATAAGTCTCTTTCTGACCTGATAGGACAAAAATAATTCTGACATTGAACTCCTTATCTAGAAGAAAGGAAGTCTATATATCGTATCCAATATCCGATACATAAAATATTTAAGTAATCATATATACGATTTCGTAGAAACTTTTAAAGATGTTTCAAGCCGAAATGACTATACGTCGTGTGTAAACTCATGGATTACTTGTTAAGCTACTGCGACAATATATAAATTGTCACATGTTGATTTGCCAGTTGCAGGAATCGCAGACCAGTTGAAGTAGAATGAGATCCTGTGCACAGGAATTAAATACATATTATATTTAAATATTTCATTTAAATGTTTCACACAAAAGTTAGGTATATATTCGTAAATCTATCGTAAGCGTCACAAGCATCAAGTTTATTCAAAATATTTATATTCTGAATCCTAACAAGTTCAATATTTCAATTAAAATTATTAAATTAAAACAAATTTGATTTGTTTAATATGTCAAGTTTCTTCTAAAATTTTGCAATATTCTTCAAAAGAAGATAAATTCTTATTTTTAATACATGATGATGAGTTTTACTAAAATTTGTATTAAATATATTTTAAATCTATTACCAAGAAAATATTCTTTAAATTGTATTTCAAGAAACCAATCACTGAAAAGAAAAAAAAATAAATTTGTGAGTAATCACTTTTTTTAACAATAGGATGATGTTTTTCCATTTGTGATATCCCCATCTGGTTACTCCGTCGACGTCATAGCTATAGTTTTTTTTATCGCTGTTATCTTTCTACACTTATCTAAAACAAGTATATAATTACACAAACTGAAGAAAAAGAGAGGGGAGAAAAAATACAACAAATTCTACAAAAATCTAGAATTCATATTTTTTATTTGAGTTTAAATCTAAATCTCCATACTTGTATAGAGGACCATTCAAATACAAATCATAGATGTATATTTCCAAGGTATCTTCTAAAGTCAATGATTAATTCAACCAGCAAGAACGAATAGAGAGCATTGGAAAAAAAAATTAATTATACATATAATAGACTACTGTACAGGTATACATATATGTATTAAAATATATAGGATTTTCATAACACTGGAACTTTTTTTATTTTCAAATTAATCCAAATTTTATAGTCAATAAAGTCGGAGGCATGAATTAAAGAAACTTTTCAATTACTTCCCATTGAATATATTGGGTCATCTAAAAAGTATCCGCGGTTTTTAGATGACCCAATATCTCCTTTTCTCCTTTCTCTTTTAAATTTGGCGAGTCTCTGAAGGGAAGATTTCAACCTATCAGATACCAGAATATACATAAGTTACATACCGGAATACACGATTTCTGATAGGTTAAAATTTTAATATTTATTTCTATTCCTAATATTTCCTCCATTGTGCGTAAGGCCTGAGTTTCAGGAAACCATACGATATATATATATATGATCTCATATGAATAAATTATTCCTTTTCTACTGATTGTAACAGCTGATCATTCTGTGGAATACAACAGAATAAATAATATACAAAATATAATAAATCTTCGTTAGCTTGTTTTTTTTCCAAAGCTAATTGCCTCCAAGATTCTTGTTTCTTGTTTCTCTTCTCTTATGTTCCCTGCTCTTGCTTTCTTTTATTGAGAGAAAAAAATAAAATCTCAAGTTTCTCCTTCTTCTATGGATTCCACCATTTCCACCATTTCCATCATGCTTATTACAGCTTATGCGATATGTCTAATGCCACGCTGGCTTACGCTGGCTTCTTATACTGCGAGTACCGTGACTTTGCATTCTCTCTAAACCATATTTAGTTCATGGTCCGCGTGTCGTGCGTTCGTCAAGTCGTCGATACAGAGAATTGCGACGGAGCGTATATTTTCTGGTCTCTTTTATCAGCCGGTTTCGACACAGGCGGGTAAGTAGTCTGTTCCGCTCCACATTTCGACGTCCGGAATTGAATTTCGCCGACGTATCGTTAAATTTCCAACGCTTAATTTTTTTTTCCTTGCGTGCTACATCGACGAACGTCAGGTAGCGACACGAGGTACATTTTCACATCATCTAATTCTCGTAATAATAGGCAATATTGTAAGATAGAAGCAACCAAGTTTCGCGTGATTGAGATTTTAAAAAAACTTACAAAACGTCCACCTGATTATCTAATTATTACAACTATTGTCTTTCTTAAAGAAAGAGGCTGGTGTAGATCCCATGCATCAGAAGGTTAATAAAATTGTTCGCACCTAACCATGAGAATTATTTTCCTACAAATATAAACATCAAATCACGTAATCGTGTTACGCAACGAATCGAAAAAAGCTTTTCTTGTAAGAAAAAAAAAACCTTTTTTTAAAGGAAGCATTTTTTTACGAGAGACGGAAACGGAAAATGATCTGAAATCGTTCTCACGTTTCTATCTCGTTCGTGCATACATGCTTTTCGATGGTACGAAGTTATCTCGACATTCGAGACGTAACGAGAAAACGATAGACAATGAAAGAGTTCGATGATAAAATTTTCGGCGGATAGTCTCGCGCGACTGCGAGAACAATTCATCGTAAATCTCCATAGATTTCGTGAGAGGCGGCAACATGCAATAAAGGTGAAGCCGCGGATGTATAGGTTAGGTTACGCATAAATTCCGGTGTGTCTCTTTCCACAAGATTTGGCAAGATCCCGAATTTCGCGGTTGTGATTGTTCGCGATTACGCGTTCACGGCTCTCCTAACTCTTCCTTCCTTTTCCTCCACGAACGACAAACTTGCACCATCGTCGCGTCAGGAATCTCCTTCGAGTGAATCAAGAACGGAATTACGGAAGTTCGATTTAGATCAGTTTAGAGGTTAAATTCGCCTCGCATGAGCTTTCCGATATACGGATCATACGGGTGTCCAAGATCGAGATTCGATCTTCTGATTGAATCTGAGAAGATCGTCCAGAGAACAAGACAACTATTTTTCCTTCGTTAATACTTCAATATCGAACGGTTCAGAGTGAGAAGTCAAGGATTAATATTTAATTGGACTCCCTCTGCTAAAGTATGTTCGTAGAATGTAAGTCTTTAATATTTTTAAGTAATATTTTCTGTAATATTGAGAGAATTCCGTGAAGGTCGACTTGGGAGATACGCGACCAGTGCCTGAAGTCCTGAAATCCATCCACTGAAATTCCTGAAGCGCGTCGTGCGATTTGAAGAGGTTCTAGATTTAGGGTAAGCTCGTTATATTTAACCTTCGCTTCTTCTGTAACCGCTGCGTGATTTCGTCATCCATGGACCGCGGCATCTCGTCGCAGATCGTTTCGTCTCTGACAGACTCTGACTCTCAGCTGACTCTGCTCGCTCCGCGTGCATCCCCCCTGATTTCGCCTAATCTCGCCTCGCGTATGATAAGAACAGAGATCATTCCGTTTCGGTGTGGATACTGACACTTTTTAATAGCATATAATCATCATATTTTGCCTTTATTATTCATATATAAAACAAGGGCAAAAGCGCTGCGAAGATCCAAACTGAACGTTGTCGTTCATTGGCTCAGTTACGTAATCAGTTTATCATCAATTCATAAATAATTTTGTTTCAGGCGGAAATTATTGCGTAACGATTGACGGAGAGGTTAAACCTCTCGGGCAGAATAAACGTTGGGTGATTTAATTCGATTCGAGCCTGTCGGTTTCGAATTGAATTTCATTTTATCTGTGATTAATAATATAAATATTATGTAATAAATTAACTAGATAAGAAAGCGCCAAACATAGTCGAGGGTAGATATTGGTGTCTAATAATATTCTTGTAAATTTTAAATACATCTTTCAGTTATATAAACTGCGCCCATTATCTGTTCGACTTGCAAAGAAGACATCTATACTGGATAGTTGAGAGATTCCAGGTTTATTAAATCCTGAATAAGGTAATATTTTTCAATGAGTTTTTTTTACAGTGTTTTAAGACAATGACTAGTAGCGTTATTATCAATTTAAAATTTGTGAGATTATTATTTCAGTTTATTATTATATTATGTTGCATTATATTGTCTTGACAATAAGTAAGCAAGTGGCGTGCAGTTTATATAACTGAAAGAATATATTTAAAATTTATGTAAAAATAGTGAGCGCGGTTACAAATGCTTCAAAGCATTTGATTGATCAAAATCAAAAGAAAATTTCATCAATCAAAAAATGCTTCAAAGCATTTATGACATCAAGAATCGTATATACCTATTATTAAGGCATCACAATGTTCAATCTTGACAATGTTTGGTGAGCTTTCTTACTTATTTGATTTATTTATAATAGTATAATACAATAGCAGTTTTGTTTAATTATTGGTTATATAATCAAAGTTGTTATATGACTTAATTAACAATATAATCAACAATTATCTAATAGAATTTATAAATTTATATATATAATAATTTAATTAGACATATGTAGAAACTTTTTTATGTATGTAATTTTAGTTGTAGATAGAGATCTATTATTTTTTTGCTTCATCAATTTATTTCAATGTTTTCGCGAACATAAATAGATAAATACATCTTTAATCCTCTGTTCGTACTGTGAATATACCCGTATTACTTTTGCATGTGATTGCAGAAGATAGCGATACAACTCGTGTAACGATTAGGTCATATCAGTGACAATGATAGACAGCTACTTATTGATAACAATGTTCACGAAAAAGCTCATCTTTCGAATCCGAAAATGCGCCAATTCGTTTGTTCTTACGAATTAACGATCCCTTTCGCCAAGCAACATTGAATAAGATTGGTGCAAGAGAAGCGATTGTAGCAACTCCTGATAATTGTCAATAGCGCGTCAGAATGTATTAATCGGAAATATCCGCTGCAAACGAGTCTTCGTCGCGTCTTCGCATCACTCGCGATAACTCGATGACGCGCAACGTTAAAGAGTATATAGGACTGGTTCGATTGATTCGTATTATTTTCCTCGCGATATCTTGTGATATCAGACTAGCAAGGAAGCATTCTTCTTTACTAATGTTTAAGTAAATACCCTCTTTTTTTTTCATAATTCGGTCTGAATTATTTCACTATCTGACAAACTATTCTTTATATTTTTTTGTCGAGAAATATTTATCGATTTTCATACGTAAATTACAAAAAATGCCAATGTTCGTATGCAACAGCTTCTTTGACATTAATCCTTAACTTTTTGCAGTCCTATATTTGCTTTTCAAGTATTTGAAAAATTAAATTAATATCATTAATATCATTAATTAACTTTATGCTTTTAGAATCTTGATAAATTTCTCCAAGTAGCTAAAAAAAACAGTCTTCGATTTTTAGTTTATCTATCATTTAGAAATCGAGGGCGAGATACTTGAATCTCGCTCATTTGTGAGACATATTAGGTGTAGTAAAAAGAAATCCATTATTTTTACTACACCTAATATATATAATTTAAAAAAGATTAAATCTTTAATCTTACTTATGGAATCTTATAATTCGTATTAAAAAGATTATTAAAATCACAGATTTTAAGTTACACATATCTTTTTTATGTTTTTACTATTAATCGTGGACAACTTCTGATATAAACATCTCGATGTCGTGTTTACTTTTTTGTACTATAGATGAAACATTACACTTAACAACATTTTACGATTCAGACGAGTGTTGATAATCTCGTCCCGAATTCATTATTGCGAATGATAAGAGCGGGTAAGGGATTTTTCTCTTTTATAAATCTATAAAGTTCTCGTGGCTTCGATGAACTTCTCATTCGTCCGTTTCATAATTCGCGTTTCATTCGACGCAGTTGTCGCACAGCCGAACTAACAATAAGCCAAGTGCATGTTCTCTCACGTGTCTCATCGAGAAAAAAAAATACGGTGCGTTTTCTATGATTTCGTTTTCATTCATTATTCTCGGAAATGAGGCGACATGCAACCCGTAACTCGAAGATATTTAGTGAATATTGAAAATCAATCGCAAACTGTTCACCGAGTAATTTGCTTAGAGAAGATACTTATATAAATTATTTTTTTCTTTCAGAATACACAAAGAAACTGCAATAACGAGATGCGTTCGACCCATGTTGCGCTGTACGCTTTCCGGTTGACACTGAATCAGGTAAAAATATAGTAAAAACATATTAACGTAAGTCTCGAGAATTTAGCCCCCTGATAATAGATTTTAATTAATTCCTATTCCTACCTCTGTATTTTGTAAATGGAAAAAGTTTCCTTTTGTAGGTTATTTCCAATTGATTTCTTTTTTGAAAAATTCGAAAGAGATCGAAAAAGAAGTCTTGAAACTTCATTGATATTAGCTCGTAACTGGAACATACATATAGAGTCACACATGGTGATTCTAGATATAATATATATATAATAATTTATGAAAAAATATAATAAGTTATGAAAAAATGATCAATGCGTGAATTTAAGTTTAACAACAAGTTAGAAGCAATAAAGTCTATTGATAACATTTTATTTTCTATTGATAACATTTTATTGTGTTTTCCAAATAGCCTTATGCCATAGATTAAAAATAATCTAAATGAATTTGAAAAATTCTTAAAGAAAATAAACTAACAAAGAATTTTAATAGGTCTCAAAGGCCCATATGTTTACATTATTTTAGCATTATAAAAAAACATGTGTTCCTATTATGGATTAAAATTATAACAAAGATATAGGTAAATTATAAATAATTGTATTATAATCAACAGACGTATTATTAATTAAATATAAAATTATATTTTCTTACAAATATTTTTCTGTACGAATATAGAAAGATTAATTATAAAAGATATTTTATTTCCATAAAGCTTACCTTACGATAATTATTTTTCCAGGGAGCCAGCCCAGCTTTTTACAGGACCAAGAACTTCGATCGTGGTACGGCGACGTCCGCAATCTTCCTCGCGACCTTTGGATTGTCTATGAGCATGTTCTCGTTGAAACAGATGCAGTCGTCGCATCAGCGTCGTCTGCGAAGACTCTGTTAGAAACGTCCTATTAGTCATAATTCATCAATAAACAAAATCAACAGTCATCTTGAAGAAATAAATCCATCGATTATGAAAATATGTCTGCGCGACATCATAGCGGTCGTATTTATTGTTCTGAAGTCAGCATGCGGCATATATTGGGTTGAGCTATTATATTTTTTCGCGTCTAGAGTGTGAGCTTGCGGTTTGTACCTATGTTGTATTAGGTAATTTACAATTCCGAACAAATTTCGTGGCATGTTTCTCTATTAAACGTACGCAAACAACTCGTGTTTGAAGGATCATGTCCTCGATTCGCAGACGCGCATACAAGACCGCGTGTTTCAATTACGTAGAATTCAGTACTTGGTACAGATCGAGGTTACAAACAAAATGGAGTTTTCGTCGAAGACAGCATCGCTTTCAAGCGAGACGTGTGTGCTTCATGAATCGAGTGTAGTAGCTTTTTTCTCTAGAAACAATAACAAAAAATAAAGATAGCTCATCACATGAGAAGAGATATTCTAGTCGTGTGAGCAAACGAGAAATGATGCAGCGAATACATTTTTACACGAATTCTTTCCGAGAAAACTTTTACTGCCGGTGATCGATATATCATAAAACAGATTGCTCGTATTATTTTGCACCACGATTTAACTTAGCTTATCGATTGTTTTCGAAAATAGTTCCTTCTAGTGTATAGTTGCAACTATTGAAGCAATGTTATTTGATTTTATGATATATCGTACGTCATTTCGTTGATATTAAACAGAAACTAAAAGGAAAAATCACATCAAAAAAACATTATAATTTACTGTGTGTCATTAAGTAATGATTGATTCATAAAAACTATATTTATAAATACAATTACAAATTAGAATTAAATTACAAATTAGAATTAAATTTCCTGTTTGTATCATGAAATCACTTACAATCAGCATGCTCAAAAGTAGAGCGTTTATTATAAATCAGTTCTGAACGAGTTTTCTTTGGAAAGACGGCAACTGCGTACGAGCCAAAGAGTTTCACTGAACGACGAATCCGCGAACTTTCATAGTTGAGAAGATTTTAATGTTATTAGAATCGAGTCATAAACTTAACTTAATAATTCATCAATTAAGTATCGTTGATAATTGCTCGTCCGTTTTTGTCACTCCAAAGTCGCACTGAATTTCTGTTATTGAACCTGAAGCACAAAGTGGTTAATAGTTGTATTCAATTTATGTCACTGCATTTTATTACCACAGTTGCTCTTCGCAAATCTCATCACAAGACGATTGCATGAAACTCAATTTAAACTCTCCTCCATGTTTTTGACAAATTAAAATGAGATTTTAGTAAAATTCTTTCTTGCTACTCGATGTTATTTTTTATTTTACACGACAAATACATTACTGTGCTATGATTGCTCTATAAAATATATGTACACATATCTCTCTGTGTCATTATCATACATCTGTATATTAGGATGTATTGGATCTATTTCGGAGCATTTGTAAGATTGATCATTGTTTTTAATAAAACGTTGATTCAATTGGCTAGGACTTATTTTTATTAAAGATTTCTCGTTAATAAGTGTAAGATTTACATTTAAATCCTACAGCAAGAGAAGGAAGCGATTACGAGGAAACACAAAATATTATAAAAGAGAATCGTAGACATCAGAATACAAAAAAGTGAACAGAGTACTATTAAACAATATTATCAAAAGGAAATGTATTGCGACATCTGTCCTTTGGTCTTAACGTGTGTACATTTATTTATAATTATTATACAGTCTCGATATTCCATGTCGTACGTCTTGTCCATTCTTTCATTCTCTCTCTCTCTCTCGTTTCTCATATTTTCATAAAAAAAGCACGTTCATGCCGCAGAACAAAAATTACGAGCCAAGGGTCCAATTTCGTTATTATTCCTTATTCGCACATATGAATGATACAAAGATTTTCTCTTTTGCATTTTCGTCAAATTTATCTTCACTTGTTTTTACGGCATGGACGCAATTATATCATATAAGAAATATATGTCTATACACACGTGTTGTGTGTGTGTGTGTATTTTTGTAAAATCCATAGATCTTATAAGATCTATGATAGAATATTAAAGATTATAATCGTCGGGCTGCTCGATTCGAAAGTTTGTATAGTAAAATATACAATATGACATACATATTTTTAAATAATCCTTGCGACGGATAGACGAGAAAAAAAAGGGATTCGGTAAAAATCCAAAATAATTTAAAATTCATAGAGAATCTAAATATATACCTTTAATAACTTTTTCCACGTTCGACGTTCCGCTTTTTTCTTAAAGACTTCGTTGTTTTTTTAAGGACTAGAATTAAAGATTACTAGAATTAGAAATTTGATTTCGCGATCAAAAGGACTCTTTTTGCAATATCTTTATCGTAGACGGTAAAAACGTTGAAAGAGAGTTGAAAGAAGGAAGGCTGTATTTAAAAAGAGAGAAAAATAATGCTGACAAGTGAGATTCTCGATAAACTCTTGGTAGACGAAACAAAATTGTTTTACATCGCTTTACGAAATTCCTCGCGATACCTGTGCCTGTTCTGGAGAAGACAATTAATTAACAAACGCAATCGAATAGAACGTTGCCTCCTTCTCGAAGCTGGATACAGTTATCACAGTTATCCTCCATACAATGATCGCGCGGTGCAATGTATTATGCACGTGGCGCAGCAATTTTCTTTTCTTCTGCCGTCTAATAATATATAATTATTAATTATATATTATAAATATTACGTGAGAATAAATGATATGTCACAATGCAGAATGCGCTCGATCTTTTTTTATCGGGTCTGCATCCTTCGGCCACGAGAATACGAGAATACGAGAATACGAGAGCGCGACGGGGAATTCTGGGGATGAAAGGCAAAGGAGGAGAATTTCGCCATCCCGTCGTCCCTGTGCATCGATGGAACGCTACGAATTGCTACGAGTCACGAAAATTACGATGCAATAATACATCGATTGATATGCGAGAGGGGATTGCGATTAGGAGAACCGTGGGAATCGACATTCTGTCGAGTATTATTAATCTCAATGATCAAGTCGAGTATCTCAACACGGTTACGGGAGACGAGCTGGGACCAGCTTGGATAAGATGGCTTCATTCCTTTGTATATATTTTGTTAATTATCATCTTAATGATACTCTAATGGCAGTCTGTTCTAGTCTGTGCAGGGAGATAAGTGCCTGTCAAAAATGTTAAAAATCCGGTTTTTGACAGTTCACGAATGCGACGTCGATTGGTCGATTCTTTCGCAGGTCACGAGGTACGTTGTATCGACCGGGCTCGTTCAACGTGATTCAACGACAGCGTGAATTGGCGTGAATTGGGATGAATCGAGGAAGGAGAACATGCGTGTATGTATACATATCGTATGCCAGTATGTGTATCATGTGTGTGTGTGTGGTTATTAAAAACTGAGAATGAGAAGGAGAACAATACACACATTCAATACCACGATGAGCGATCGGTGGAACTCGATTGCGAGCTGCCCAACGATTGAGATAGATCGAGAATTGAGATACCTACGCCGATCGCCGGTCGCCGGTCGCCGGTCACGGTCGAGCTTTCGCCAGCTTTCGCAGAATCGCGCCCTGACTTGCGCATTTATCATCGGGCTTTCCGTTCATGTTCAAAATACACCGCCCACAAGTATCCGTTTATCTTCTTTCCACGTTTCTCAAAGTAGATGACAAGAAAAGAAAAGAAATCTTTTTAATGCGCGGATGGCCATCAACGTGGACAAACGTAACCGATTCGACTGAAAATCCTGTTAAGCTAACTGGAATGTGCTAAGGAAATTAGGCGATCGAGTTATACGGCGGATAAAGGAATATTTATGAGCGATGTGATGACGCGCGACAGAAATATGTATACGGTAAGAAAATAAATCCTGAACTCTCCCTTTTAATAATCGTGCCTATATTCTGTTCTCGACTTCCCGCTTCTGTCGACTTAACGAGACGCTCTCGCGAGAGCCTGGCGCGCTTATTAAGCTAAGGAATTAAGCTACAAAGTGGCGGTACGGGCGCCTTCTCATCTCTCTCTCTCTCTCTCTCTCTCATTCACACTATATGCTATCTATTACTTCTCCCTTCAAAACTATCTATCTCACTACAAGTCACAAATCATGTATGTATAAATTCAACGCGACAAGACTGGACAGCGTTTTCGAGCGCAGCCGAATGTATCGGACAGACTTAAGATTCGTGTTTTTCGAAAATATCATCTCGTACAATGCTAATCGCCTGTCAGATTTCATTATTTATATTCGAGTTACATGGTACTCTGTCCAGCCCTGGCACCGATAGCGTAAAAATAACATAACGCGTTTCCCTTTCACCTATCCAAAATTCAATCAGTCTGATCATCTGATCATCCTAATTCACCTTAAATTTAAATTTCCAACAATCCACATCGTTATGCAACGCGCTCGCGCATTCGGTCGTCATTCGAAGAATGGTGAAACTCGCAGACAAAGCCGCTAATAACTCTTCGCTACTCCTAACAGAGAAGCCTCGTCGCGTTTCATCGATTATGAAACAAGAAAAATTCATCAAATCGTTCCTTTGCGTGTAAGATGCGTGTAAGACACTTGCAAGTCTCGGTGAGAAATCTGAAATTCACAATTTGTACGCGAACGAGCCGATTGACATTTCCAGTTAAATTATATAGGAACGTATCCATGACAGAATTAATAGATAACTAATCACCAAAATCTTATTTTGTAAATTTAATAATTTATTAAGTGACAATCATTAATTAAACTTTAAAGCGCGACTGATCTAAAATTTTTTAAGATCAGTCATCGCGCTGTCCCATTTATCCACGCGATTATCTCAATCGACTTGGACTGAAAGTAAATGTTTAGACATTATTCCAAAAAAAAAAAAAAAAAAAAAAAAAAAAAATAATCATATGATAAATATCATTGCAGTAAAACGACGAAAAAAAACGGAAAACTATTGAGAAATTGCATTCCTCTCTGAAATACACGTTCAAACGATATTTTTCATTCTGTGACAGCTCAAGGATTCGTTTTCATGCGGTTTACATTTCTTATCGAAGATTACGATGCTACAGGATGCATAGGATATCCGCAATAACGGAACGGTCTCTCAAATCGAACAACTATAACACAATCGAAATATATAAGTATAATTACGTTCAATTTTAACTCTACAGACACTAAATGTCGAAAATAAATTTTCATCGATTCGTCGATATTACTTTGGAATTATTAGGCGTAATTGAGCGCAAGAACGTGGAGATCGGACTCATCGTTTCGCATTCACTTCCTTCAATTGGCCGATTTAGTGTGGCAGCAGTTAGTCGGGAATCTAAAGGATAGATTAAGTGTCCTTTACGATATCCATCGCCACAAATTTCGCCAATGGTAGACTGCGATCGATGTATGTATTTCTGCTTGCAAGAGGCCTCGTAAATAGTCGTCAAAGTCGCACAAATGTCAACGCCGTGCAAATGTTTGTGTCTTGATTGACAACGTCGATTCATACACGAGTATTATCTCCGTCAATCTCGGGTAGATCTCAGGTAGTCGTGTGTACGAGTTACAAAATGGCGAGTTGTTTAGCTCATTCAATTCCAGCCTGTCGCTGCGATCTCAAACATCGAATCGATGCTCTGCAGCAACCTGAGGCCGTCGTTCTGCCGGATTCACTAGCTCTTCTGAATAATGGGTTGCACGCAAAACGATTGAATTGCTATGAATGGCTGCAAACAAGCAGAGTCGGGCCTGGCTGGACAGATTCTTGAACGACATCGACTCGTTCAGACGGAGTCTTTCCTTGTTCTCTCCTCGCGTGTCTCTTCGCGGACATTTTCTTTTCAAATTCATTTGTTGGAACGTGATGACTCATCGTTGCCTAGGATTTCGACAACCTTCGAGATGTTGCTCCCAAAGTTATCTACGGTCGAGCTTCGCGAGTGTCGATTCCTTTCTCATATCCTCTTCTTCTTATTGTTTTATACTTTCTTTTCTGTGTACTCTGTATGTCTTTGTAGCGTTCTGCCATCTGATCCACTCAAAATGTAACAACTCGCGCAGCGTTCCACAGGGCTTCCTCCATTAGGATTAAGTGTATCTTTGCGCGAGCATTTTCGCAAAAAAATTCTTGACAGGCAAAAGGAACCGATTCGCAGTTCAGTTGGACCGGTTCGTTCGTTGAAGAGTTTTTTCTTTTGCTTACCAAGTCGGTATCGTTTCTTGAAATACTATGATCTGCCAGTCGTCGAGGAAACACTGCCAACGATTCTTCACTTTTTTTCTGAAGGCGTTGTTTCCTCATTCCTTCAAGTTTCTTATTCTCGCTGAGTTGTCGCTTTCATCTTAACAGATGACTTGAGACATCGTTAAAAACATGATCATCGGCACAGGTTGAAAATTAATTATTCCCGCGAATCCGTTTTCCGAATTGATCCAGCGGCCATTATCTGTCGGTCTTTTGTCTTTCTGAAGCTGAAGATCAGAAACATACGGCTGCGTACACTGCAAAGTCCGAATTGCAACTTGCATTACAGTTAGCATCCAACTATCGTGTCAACACTGTGAACGGTACGCTCGAAAATCGAAACAGATGTTGTAGACAAGAATAGTATTTCGGAAATTGCACCGCGTTCATCGGCTTTATCGGCCTTATCCGGTTAACGAATTTCAAAATTTCAAAATAATCATCATTCCTGTTGGTACGGATATCCTTGAATTCCTCGTGTCACAATCGTCGATATCGGCTATATACACATCTCGACAAAACTTAAAGATCTTGATAACATCTTAAACATCTTTGATTTTTTTCTCAAGAAAAACGAATTTGTTAGTATGTCTTTTTTTCTATGAAACATTTAATCACTTTTGAATAATTAAGAAAACGCACTTATTCTTCATTCTTATTCCTCACTCAGACGGTTTACTTCTTTTGACTTTCTTCGTTAACTGATAATCTTCACAACATTACGATTTTACTTACAGGCAATATAATTTGTTTGCACACAGTTCTTTAGACAGGGGACTAATCTCGCTGAAACTTGAATTTTCTTGTCAAGGTGAAAACGCTATGCTTTCGTATTCGAGAAATTACACGAAAAAGGATGTCAACTGCCAATCGGAATGCAGGTGGAAAGTGTCAGAATATATTTAAAACTCGGAAAATATCCAGGATTAAGGCGCTTCACATACAATTGGTAATTATTTTTTCGCGATAACCGTATAGGCAGGGAAACTGTAAATTTCTAATAATATTTAAAGCAAATATACCAATAGCAGACTTCAAAGCTGCAAGAGAGCTAATGCGAGGATAAGTTTTCGTGGCATTCCAAGTACATATCTGGTCAAAAAAGATAGAGAGGATAAGAAGACACACTTGGGTATTCGTAATAATAATTTAGATATATGTACTGTTACCTGTACCGGTCGACAAGGCAAAATTTATTCATTTGGTCCAAGAGATCTAAGAGTAAAAAAAAAAAAAGAAAAAATACAACATACGAATTAAATATATTAAATAATATGTATATATATACATATACATATATATATATTAAAAGATTTCTCCATGCATAAATCTTGCTTTTTAAAAGCATCTACGTTTGTTATTAAAGAAAAATATACATAACAACAGGGTGAATACTCATTGTGCTAAACTCATCAGCAATTAAATGTACATAGTCCGAGTGAGTCATACAGCGCGTATTGTTAATTTGTTGGAAAATACATATCAATGTATTCTTGATATATGTATATATATACACATATATATATATATATATATATATTGATTTTAGATAGACAATATTGTGTGTTGCGAGTGGAAAATCTTATATGATGCAAACAATTTTAGGTATTTCCGATGATATATGTATACTATCGTAATCTTCCATAACAAATATCATAAAACATGACATATATACATGTATGTAGTGCGTGCGTGCGTGCGTGTTTTGTGTGTGTGTGTGTGCGCGCGCGCGCGCGTGTGTATGTGCGTGTTGTGTGTGAATATAGAATATTCAAGTGGATTCCTTCCACTATGATGGATTAAAGTCAACATACATACATAATATATTATGTATAATGTATAGATATTATATCTGATAAAGATCTGGCGTTTACTGTAGTATGACTGTAATAGTTATGTTTGCCTGAATAAGCAATAAAAATATGTAAAAGACTGAGCTCTGTTAGCGCACGGTACATATATACATATATATATAATATATATAAATATCACTCACTCACTCACTCACTCACTCACTCACTCACTCTCTCTCTCTCTCTCTCATTTTCTTTTTATTCCTTATTACGAATCGACTAAACTCGGATTATGATCACCCTGGATATATCTTGTACGCCAATTGTGATGCACATGCGCGCGATATAAGTCGAAGCAAAGCTCCATGTATCTTATTCGCGTCCTTGCGCATCACCGTGTTTTCTCTCTTCAATCACAACAAACCGTAGTAGGACATCAAGTTTTAATTATCTACTATGATATTCAACTTGTGCGAACGCCGCCGTTTCAATTTCTCATCCTTTTGTCTGCGTATTTCACACATCGTGGTTGCTTCGTGGTTGATCGCGCGACAATTCGAGAAAGCCGCCAAGTATCGGCGCGAAGAAAACTTGGTATCGTTGTGTCTGAGCCTTAATTCTTTCAATTGCATCTTCAAGCGTAAAGATCATACATTCTTCTTTTTCTTCTTCTTACACGCGTCACTGAGCAGCGTTCGTTTGAGGTAAATCTGGACAACGGATTCAAATTTCACATATCGTATGCGATGAAATGAATAGAAGAAACGAATGGATCGATCAATCGACGACGATAGCACACGAAGGGTATTCTCACGTGTTCTTCTCTCATGAACGAATAGAAGTTGCAAAAACTTAGGACATCGAGGAACAGGGTAGGCGGGGTGAGCCCATTTGCGTGAGTACTCTGTCGAGCCACTGCAACGGTCCGTTTAAATGCAGCTCAATCCAGCAGGGAGTTGAGGTGACTGTCTGCCGGCGATATTCCGCGCCCCAGCCTTTCACGAAGCTCATTCGGATCGTGCACATACGCGTCAGCTGGTACACTGCTTCGAAACCCTGCGACACCGACTGCGACAGCAACGCCGCAAATTCCTGGTTGTTGAAGATCTTCAGATTGCATCCTGCATGCCAACAAAATACATTTGACACAGATTCTAAAAACGACGAACGATAAGCAAATGATTTATTTATGTAATAATTATTTTATACAGATAAGAAACGTCAATCATTCATTGGGAAAATAATTACTGAATAATTCAAGCAGGAGGTAGAAGAATCTTACTGAAAACAGATCTCGTGTTGAAAGAACGCATGTGGTAGGTCTCGAAGGCTTCCGATAAATTACTAATTTCATTCCAAGCGAAATTAAAAAATATGTGTGAAGAAAGAACGAATGAAAATGTAGAAACCTAAATGAACAACTAATAGTTTATTAATTTTCAAATTGTCCGTGTGCTGACACGCTTACACAAATCTGATTTGTGCGAAGAATTTGGACCCACTCGTAATTAAATAATTTAAAGACGAAATTGTCTTAAAACTAAACAAAGTAAAAAAAGCATATTACCTTGTCCGAGGAAAAAGCAAATTACAATGAGTAAGGAGGTAAATTACTTCGCTTACCTGGCGGTATTTTGCAAACGGTAGCCGGGTGCCAGCCATAACGCTGATTGCAATTCGGACTTTGTACGAAGATACTCGAATCAGATAGACATTCGGCGAACACTTCACCACCGATGTAGTACAATCTGACACCTTTGCCAATGTGTCGCCTGGTCTGCTCGACCACCGTGTTGCGATTCACATTGGACAGCAATCCGAGGCAGAAGCGCTCCGAATTGCTTGGATCGGTGAAACCATCCACGGTTATACTCGGCTGCGATGCGTGAAACGTCTCACCCACTCTCGTATTTAGCTCGTAATAACTAATTGAACACCTGGCAAGTAAAACAAAAGTTGTAAGTGACAAACACGGCACGACGAAAATCAAGAGCGAAGAGCAATTGGATCGCGAGATGGAATAAATAAATATATTATCTATATATAAATTAATTTGTCAATTTAATTTCCGGTTTTTAATATATTCTTATATTAATGTCGACCTCTTAGAATCCGATTTCACATTTCACGTCAATATTAATTCGATAATTTCCAAAGATGTTCGTTCCGTAAGTTTGTCGCGGCGATTGCTAGGGAAATTAGAAAGTCTCACGATTAAAATCTTGCGGACAACGTACAAGGCAACCGTGATACGTTTATATGATTTAGGAGAGTGCTATACACCTGCACACGCAACATGTCCATTAATCAACCTAGTACTCACCAAAACGCGGGCTCGCAATACATAACCGGCTGCGCGTCTACAGGACTGGGTGACAAGCGTGACAGGGACATGTTATCGTTGTGGTCCATATTGTCGCCATCCTCGCTGATGTAGCCCGGTGGCGGCGTATCTGCCGGTGGATCCATGGATCCTGGAGCGGGATGAGGCGAGCCCTGTACGCTTCCCAAGCTCCCGACGCTTGCCGGACTCGTTGCCTGCATGCTCTAAACATAAATAATATGTGCAAGTAATCACATTTCCAAATCCGACAGCGCGTTCATTACGCTCCCTCATTATACTACATAGGGTGTTATACACTAGGTACATAATCTGTGTAAAAATCAATGTTACGAGATATGCACATAGTTCAAGTGGTCATGCGGTCATGCAATTAATTAGAGATCATATCATCACAAAAAAAATGATAAATTGCTTTCATCATTTTAAATAACAAAAATACTGCATTATCTATTATATTGATTTATAACTATTATTATTATTTATATTATAATATATTATTACTTGTGACTTATGACTTGTAACCATTGACAGCGACAATTAAAAAAAATAATTAAAAATAAGAGTGATAAGAAATGAGTTTTTTCATGGGGAAACAAATTGACTATTGACTTTAGGCAAGTCAACTTGCTAATGATGATCGTGATCCATTTCAGTTACCGACCTGCATTCCTTGGTACGGATTATTTGGTTGTTGCTGTTGTTGTTGCTGCGGGGAGTGCGGTATGCCCTGCTGCTGATTGTGCTGGTGATTCAACGTCGCGTGGAAGCTCGTATTTTCCGGCACGCTGACGCTGAGCTCCTCGAGGGAGGTGTTGTAGAGGACGGTGTTCTCGTCGCTAGCTAGGTTGTGCCGTGGTACGAGAATGGCTGGCAAAACTGCAAAGTTTCGTGTACCGCGATATAGTCACGCGATCTAGTCTCGCTATGCTTACGGTCGTAACAGCCGATTAACAGCCCTCTCTCGAGAAAGAAGAACGGAAATAGAGAGAGAAAGAGAGAGAGAGGAAACGTAATTCGAGCAAAACGGATACCAATGATCGCCCATCGCCCTTTCTCCGTCACAAAGAGGAAATTGATATAAATTTTATCTTCGCTATACAAACAAGTATGATAGTTTATTTTCCCAACTTATATAAAGTCAAAAATCGTTAACGGTTTCAATACAATAGAATAGAAGTTTAATTTCACCGTTTCCTAACAGTAGTCACGATTTCCTTAAAAATGGATTTTTTAAAAACCGCCATATGTTTAATATTATATATATGTGATTCATATAATCATTACAGGCTTGTTTAATTTCAGAGTGTATATATATCTATAACGAGTACAAAATAAAAGTTTCTATGCACCTGTTTGCCCTCGCGTACCTGGCGTTTGTATTCGTTGATAATGGTAAGGATTCACGCAGACCTCGTCGCGCTTCTGGGTGAAGGCGTACTCGCAGTGCTCGATCGCCCTGAGCTCGTGGTGCGACTGTAAATCTGGCCAACGCCAGAGTCGGCAATAAATCACGTGCGGCAGACCTTTGCCGCGAACACCTTGAACGCCGTTATCGCCGACACCGCCCGGGCTAGGCCTGCAAAAGTCCAATACCTACGTTATTTCATTTAATCAATATAAATTTTATTTTCCCCATCTCATGATCACAAAAGAAAATTCTCCAGTGGAATTTACTAAATTCGAAATTTATATTTTTCATTTTATTTCATACTACCTAAATTTATATTATATATTGTACTGGTATGATGCATTTATTAAATCTACACACACACACGCACGCACGCGCACACATCTTTTAAATAATAATTAATTAAATTCAAAGTTTATATTTTGAGTAATTAAATTCGTTTTGTATTTATATGACATTTATTAAATATTACGAGCGGATTGATTTATTGGAATTTTACGAATAAATAAATGTGTGTGTGTGTGCGCGCGCGCGATAAAAAAAATTAAAATTCTCTCCGTAAAATTAGGACCGTTCGTGACATTCCGCCTCTAGCTTTGATTTGCATCGCGTCACATCGCATCGCATCGCATCGCATCGCATCACATCACATCGTACAGCACGCGAGAAGTGGCGGGTATCCGCGAGGAAAAAAATCCGGCTGGAATTCGCTGCGTAAAGCTTTCCCGCTAAGAAATTTTTCGAGTAGCGCGAGATTATGTGTTTTCGTATGTTCTTTCGCGAATCAGCTAAGATTCTATCAACAATAGTATCGTTATTTTACATTTTTACAATATATGTATGTATAATACCTACACAAGCATGGATGCCATAACTAATTACGTTAAGAGTTACAGAATTCCAGTGATGGTATGTAAAATACATAAAATGTAAGAGACGAGGAGATCACAGAAGTAAACTGATCTGCAACAGTCTATTTAACTTGTCGATATTATATCCGGCAGACTCATCGAGATTCCGTTACGTTCCGGTTACGTCGAATACATCAATACTTCAGAATTACCTGATAATCAATTCTGAAATTCAAATGGATGAGGAAGTAGATATTCAAACAGGAAACGCGCGTTGTCTTCTTCAAACATAAAACATTTCAACGAATTAATTCGAGAAAATTCGAGAAAGCTTTTACTTACTTAAGAGAAAAACAAGAAACTACGTTAAAAATAAGAATCAATCATCTCAATGAATTCTCTTCTTGACGCTGATAATCGCAGATAACGTAATGAAGCTTGATGTGTTGATTAATCATTTAGTTCCGGGAGAGCGTCGATATTGCGCTGAGTGAGGAATAAAATACAACATTCGCGCAAAGATAACTCGAGAATAGTTTGAGATAGGCATTGGTAAACGATAACGCATGTACAACGTATTATATGTATACGATATAACAATGCGCGAACAAAAAAGAATTACGGAGTGGGACATTAGGGACATACTTGGGGAGATCCTTGAGACGATGTAAATGACAATAATGACAGGCTCGCCGAGAGCGAAGACCGCGACGCAGCACGGCGCGCCGGAGTAGATAATCGCAGCGCTGATAATCCTCCGCCGACGCTGACGTACAATTAAACGGTATTTAATTGCAAAATTCTCGCGCGCGCGCGCGCGCGCTCGTTCCGTTGCACACTCGCGATCCGTTGCAACGCGTAATCCTGCGCGAGCTAAAGAGCGAGTACGGCGGAATAACAAAGCCCGCCTGGAAAGGCTATCAATGCCCCATAATTAAGCGCGAGCAATTTGCAATTAAAGCCTCACAGATATGCGTACCAGCACTCGCGATTCATCAGAGAGAGAGAGAGAGAGAGAGAGAGAGTCCTAAAACGTAACAATTATTACTTCCTACTACCGTAAAGATCTGCTTTCGCAATCTTTTCTGTTCTATTAAAAGATTAAGGAAAAAAAAAGTTGTTTATACTCGATTTTAAATTTTAGTGACCTCGTGACATTCACCACAAGACGACGGATAATCTTTGTGCATTTTCTCATATCGTCGAAAAGAAAAGATGTCTTCTTGGAAATGACCGAAAGAATGATTGGACCGTATTAATGTACATATATCACCAAAGTGAATAAATAAACCTTGTTGTCGCTCCGTAAAATCGTAATGGAAAAGAGAATATAGTCCAAGATCGAGTTTATAAAATTTATGATGAGATTGAATATGTACCGTTTTTATTATGCATAAATGCATAATGTACGTACGTCATCGCAGCCTTGGATTTTTTTTCTATGTATTCGCGCTTGTATTTTTTCTATGTGAATGTGCGCATGTGTATATGTATGATCTCTCTCTCTCTCTCTCATTCTTTCGTAACACTCTCAATTATCATTTCTGCGTGACAATGCAATCCATTACATAACATAATAATTTAAAAATACTGATTCGCTCGATTTACTCGTGCGATTCATCCGATTGCTTCTTATCGGAATCCCTGTCGATTTAGTCATCAAAATTGCGAAACTGATTTCCATGCGAGGTATTTCCATGAGAATGCGATTCTGGAGGTTCTTTGAGGATACCGCAAAAGGATACGCCGAAAGGGACGAAGAACGAAGAACGTGATTGTGCGAAGAAGCCCTCGTGCGAGAACCGCCTCGCGTTCATCCACACCTGTCGACTCTCTCGGTAATTGTTACGTAAGAAACGACGCGACGCGACGTGACGCGACGCGAGAACTCGTCGCCGTTCGCCGCGTTAGGTAATAAAAATCCCACGACGAGTCTATGCCCGCCGTATTTAATGGCAAGATAATCGGAACAAAACAAAACATTGCGCGCGTATCCCGACCAGATAGAATTTCTTCGCAACACAGATCAGATGGTATCATCATCGATCGCGTTAATCTCTCGCGACTTTCATTGCATGGATGGACATGAAATTACTTCTTCCGGTTCCAATTAAATGATATTATAGTATAATATAACGATTGAATTTAACGGAAAGATTTCACCGTCAAAATACACAGAGGATCGATGAATTAAAAATTCCTGTTGCAGACGCGACGGAGTCTTAATGGAAATTATATATCAGCCTCTTATTATAAAGTTACGTCTCGCTTTACTTCGATCGTTATGTACAATAGATATAGCGACAGATAATCGGCAAGACCGACAGAGAACGTTTACCCTAATAAAATCGCGTGAAAGATGAGGAATCTCCCGCACACGATTCCGTCGCGTGAGAATCTTTCCGTCCCTTCTCGCCGATTCTCGAGTTCCGGCGCGACGTGGAGGATGTTCGCGATATTTCAGGAACGGTTGAATATGCGTCTACAGCCGCGAACTTCATATGCACTTGGTGCACTACGTTAGATACCAGAGAAGCAATGGTAACCCAATCCGTTAAGCTAAATAACACTTTTAACTTCCATGTATCTATATATAAAAATATATAAATGAATTCATTTCTATATGATTCAAGTAAACAACGTCTATATTAACGTATCAGCAAAACAATAAACTAAACTTGAGTTAATACATTTTCTTCAGTTAAATTGTTTAACTCCTAAATTGTTTTAGTTAAATTAACGTCATGTCAAATAAAAGCAGTGACGATCTATATAGAAATAATAGAAAATACAATTCAAATAAATATTTATATAATTTGACATTATGAAACAGTCTCTCTCTCTCAACGAACGAGCTCATCTCTCGTATCGACACGGGGAATTAGACCGAAGCTTCCGAAGCCTAATTAAACCTTACCCTGCGGCTACGAAATAATCGCTTCCCACGCTGATAACGTATCTCGCACTTACCCATCTCAATTTGCGGCGTGAAAGATTTCGGAGATCGAGTGTTTACCGTCATACTTGGTCGTTCACATCTCTGCATTTGTGCATTGTGCACAGTTGAGATATGGATTTCATACACTCGATCAATCGAACGCATAATCGAGTGCAATGGTCTTCAAATTCTCTCGACATTCCTGCACATTATTCGTCGCGTATAAATATTTTAACGTGAGATTATTCACGGCCTGACTTAAATAACTTATATTAGGATATGTGTTGATATCCTAGAATATTCAAAGGAAATAGAATGAACAATTTCTCGTCGTAACTTTTGAAGATCATAGTGACAAACAGTTATCAAGACAAGATGGACGCGTCAAGTATAGCAATTAATTCTTCCATTCGAGCCATGAAGAATCAAAAGGGAAAACTGGGCACATGTTAATGGAATTATTTGGAGTGAATCCGATTTCCAATCGGAATTGTTCAATTATTCTCTAGATTTCTATTATATTTCCTATATGGAAAACGGAATAATTCCGATCGGAATCGATTCCAGTTTCACCTTTTAATTCCCCGTAGCTCAAAGTCTTACATATTCATACGCCATTTTCTATCAAACTAGAACGTTGGCCAGACTCTTACTTCTCTTTAGAGAAACTCTAGATGTATGACGAACGTCACCTGTCGCGAATCGCCAAAGATCTTCTGTCGTACTGCACATTAGAGACAATGAATTTAATCGTCGACAATTAATATGACGGAGACTACGCACGTTCCTCAAGAAAAAAAAAACGAGAGGAGAAAGAACATCGCGCGGTACGTGAATCGCACTCGGCCGGTTTATGGCTATTCTACACCGTATGGATACTGCATGGATAGTCGGAAATATACCGGCGAGAAAATAGACAAATAGACTCCCGATTTACAACCGTTCTTATAAAAAGACAACTCGTATCTGAATTATCATTCTCGATATTTGCGTTATCGCTCTTCAATAACACGCGTTCCACTCCATCCGCGTTTATCTTCGCGCCACTTTGTCCTATACGGTCGTATCGACCCCACCGGAGATAACCGCATGCAGTAGGACGAGCTCGCATTGGGATAATTCGAAATGATGACGGTTTAAGCCAAAGCAAGTTCGCGACTGTTTGCACAGTCGCAAGTACATTTTACCCGAGTGCAGTTCGTACGAAGAAAAAAGTTAAGCGGCCTAGCATAAACCCGCTATACTTGACTACTAGCTCCGGCTACCGGCTACCGGTTTCTGTGTAAACCGGCCATTATCGTAGCAGCTGTGAGCCGCGAGAGAGAAAGAGGAAGAAGGAAGAGAAGAGAGTGTGGGATACCTCGGACTTTTCAGATGCA